TCGATTACAACACCCAAGCAGGTAGATTTGGAGGTGAAATATATGTATGAGTTGCCAAATATCAGTGGTCTCATAGGGCCGACAAATGCGTGTTTGCAGATTAACATTGCTTCCAAGCCGGTGTGTTTTATCACAGTGTAATACACAGCTTAGGCTCCTTCCTTTGCTTTATGATATAGAGGTAATGTGGTGAAAAACAATTGAACATGCTTTTCTACATTTTATAATCTGATAAAACAAGGGTTTTCGACCAATCAGAGCACATGCAGGGTCCTATCTATATTATGATTACCCATAAAATAACATGCCCAATACATATGATTGAAATGGTAATAAAACATTTTGGAAAGTAAATTCCAAAATATACCTTTGTTGGAGTGGTTTTCTATTTTGTCTCGTTCTTCAACTGCCAAATCCCAGATGGTCTTCTCTAACCTGTTAAATAATAAATCATCTTGTCATCTATTCAGATTCTATTTGGTACCAGTGGGACCAACATCCACCTTAAATTCCTCCTGGATATACAAACTAATAAATTCCTTCTTTTCATATATCAACACTGGTTATGTAGGTACAGTAGGTGAAGTTTGCATACAAGCTAAGTGGCCCATCGGGCTGGAGCTTATCCAGGTTTCTGTAGCATGAAGCGACCAATCCAGGAGGGAGTAGAAATATTTCTAGGTGCTGTTCCATCACAAGGTTACCCTCAGCATTAAGTTTGCTGGTACACGTACCCATTTGTATGCTTGAGTGAGAGAGGCACTGTGAGAGTTAAGTGTCTTGCCAAAAAATACAACACAATTTATGCCCCTGACCAGGGTTTGAGCCTGGACAAGCACTAACCATGAGGCCACTACACCTCCAACACAAGTGACAGATAATTATACCCATCTATAACACAGGTTAGAGATGGGTATAATAATTATTATCTGTTACAAATAGGTTTAAAAGGATTAAAATAGCTCATTCTAGTGCTGATACTAGATTGATTAGACAGAATAACAAATGAGATTTTATGGACTTTTTTTAAGTAGCCAATCAAAAAGCAAGAAAAGCTATTGACAATGTTCACATCATTTTGAATAAATTCACTTATCTTTGTTTACGGCAAGTTTACAGCGTCTTTTCCCCTCATTTATTCCTGGCATTAGGCCACTTTGGGGTCTTGTTATTGTAAAAAACAAATTGATGTCAGTATTTTATGCGTCTGTCAATTTATTGATGATAAATTTCGTCATAACATTATCAAAGTTTACAGCCACTTTGACAATTTTATGATGCAATTTATCATCAATAAGAGGTCAGACGAATAAAAAACTGACGTCAATTTGTTAAATTGCAGGTGAATATTTTTTCACCAGTAAAACCTTGTCTGTAGTTCTATTTTCTTTTACAAACTGAGAAGTTTGAATTTGATAAAATTTTTCCCATCAGCTCAGCTCATAAGCTATTTTTTTACTATTTTATCGACAAAAGAGGAACAATATCTAAGTCTCGCGTGCACTCAGCGCACAACTCTAACTGTTAATCGTTTCCAAAGCAACTGTAGCTAACTATGAAGACTGCATGTTTTATCAAGCTTACATCTGGATGTGAAAAAGCTAGAAGTAACGTGACAATCGTTAGACATTTTTTTTCTTACCTCTTCTCGCCCATTTTTATATCACTACGCTCTGCCTAGGAGAAAGTAAGTCACATTACGATGTTTTCAGCTTGTAATCGCACCAGTGTTGTTTCTTTGTGAGATCGAGCCCGCAATCAATTTGATTCGTTGCCAGCGGATTTGTATCGTTACCAGTTTCTTCAGAGCAAGTTTGACGCCTGACGGAAATCAATCATGTCTACTCCAGAAGTGCTCGATGAGATTTTAGCCCTAAAATCAATTTTTTGTAGCCCAGGAGAATTTCACTTCATAAACCCGTCCTGTTTAGAGGCACTTGAAGCATCACGTGGACCAATTTCGTTCAAGATTGGCGTTAAATGTACGGCAGACCAATGGTCGAACAATGCCGCGAAATCTCCCTTTTCGTCTGTGGTGGAAATGACGATGGTCCTTCCACTTGACTATCCACAAACTTTGCCAGAAATATCACTCTCCTGTGCGGACATCTCAAAGAAAGGATTATTTTCTTTGCGAAACAAACTGAAGGAGTATGTAGAAAATATACACAGTTCGAATAGTGAGCCAATGATTATGAATATGGCGATGTGGCTGCAAGAAAATGCGTCATTATTTTTCGATAAACCAGAATTAGGCAACACATTTAATTGTAGTTCCTCGGATGATTCTATTCTTTTACTTAAGTTGGACCACATGAGGAATAAAACTCGTTACATCAAAACCTTAACTCGCTGGATTGACGAGCTAAACTTGAATGGAAGACTCTTCTTTGCCAATTACTTGATCCTTATTTTGTTAACTGGAGAAACTAGCAGTGTCAGAGAATATTTACGGCGACACAAGACTTGCAATATTGACGTTGACTCGTGTAGGAAACCATGCAAGGAAAAAATGATAAATGTTCTGGTGCAAGAGGAGGCTCCAAATGATTTAAGGTAAAACAAAACAAAAATAGCCAATTAACACACATGTAACTTAAGTTGTCAACATTGATCTTTTTTCTCCACCCAATATTTATATTCCACTGAGAATGATAATAATCAGTCCATTTCAAGCAGTCAGGTGATTAGCCTAGGCTCAATTACCAGTTACTGTTTTGGAAAGAAGCCACTCAAGAGAGCAGCAAGAATCTAGCCTAGTTAGGTCTAGCAAGGTGATGAGAATTTAAGTACAAGTAGAATAATATCAAGGGACACTAGGGGCCCCCTTTTCAAAACACATACTTTTTTAAAATTGGTGGTAAACTTGTAAGGGAAACATCATGATCCCTGTTTGGAGTTGAGAGAAGAGAATAGTTTCTAGCACAATTGATTGAAACCACCTTGCGGGGATTATCTGTGTGTTTTTTTTTATCATTTTTACCAATTTGTAGGATTTGTGGCTTTGAGGAAGTGGAATGTAAAACCCCTGCAGAACTTAAGGAAAGCTTCACAGAGCTGAATCTTGAGCATTTATTCAAACAGCACATCACACCATTACTCTCATTACTTCAACCACAGAGGGATGCTCTCCAGCCAAAACCTTCACAGAAGAATGATTAAGACTATGGGAATGTGTGCTACTTGTTTAATCCACAGACCAGACCCCAACAGCCAAGCAAGTGGTCCCAGTCACAGGAAATTTTGTTTGTGCAATACCTCCTTTGGTGGACACCTGTGATCAACACAGATCAACAAAACTAATTGAAAATAGTAGCTACGTTTATTTGCTATTTGTGGTCAGGACTGACCTGGTTGGATATTTCATATTTTTAATTTTTACAGAAATATAATAAACTTGATAAGAAAATAAAATCTTGAAAAACTACTTGTATTGAAGCTCAAAGGTCAAACATGATTTTTGTAACACAAAAAACAATCTTTTTTTTTCAATCTTTCCTTTGTAGCTAGGATATCAAATTTAATTGTATCTACGATAAAATTCTTAATCATGATTGTTCTCCATGCTCCTATTTGTCACGTAATCAGTGTGCGACCACGTGGATGTCCGATTACAGGTATCCAATTTTAACTTTTTGTAATTGGATACCTTGTGTCATACAATTCAGGGAGAAATCGTGCTCATAATTTGAAATCAGTCTTGTGTCGCACACTTGTCTGATTTTGAAATTACTCACCTGATCACTCCCTGAATTGTACACATGGAATGTTATGTGCAAGGTTATCAGATCAAAGACAATCCTAAACAGGAAATCAGACAGACTGGGGGATGTTGAAATGGGATTACACAGTGGAATAACTGCATAATTAATATCTTAACATACAATTAACTCTTAAGTTTTGACAGATATAATTAATTTGACTGTTTCAGATTATTACATCTGCATGTATGATAAATTAATTATCACTTAGCAGGCCATCTGATCATCGTAACTTTAATGAGGAATAATAGCACTTGAGCTTGTGCACTGCAATTTGTTTCCCTGTTGGACTTTTAAATAAATAAATAAAATAATATGGTTGTGTCACAAGAATAGATATAAATTGCAAAGTACACATGAAGCTTTGTCTGAGATTGTAATGTGATAGTTATTTCAGGAGATCGTCAGACTCCAGCGAACTTAGTGATGAGCTTGAGATGTTTCCTACTCCATTTCCAGACACTCCTGCAAAGAAATAACAGCTTTTGTTGTAGTATCAACGTGATTAAGGTTTCTTTTTAAAATACAGGTATTTTCATAATCCTGACTATTTTAATACAGTTTAATTACCTCCATTGGATCTGGGAAACTCAGAGGAAATCAGTTCTGTGTCACTAGGACTGCTAATATCCAGTGTCGTCAAACTCAGATCAGTGTCACTGCTGCTAGATAGCACAAGATTGTCTGAAGCTGCTTTAGACTTCTTTTTCACACCTTTTCTTCGTGTGTTGGAGTCACCATTGGTTATTTTTGTTTCCCTGGACCCACGTTGCTGGGGCTGTCTCAGAGAAGAGCTTCTACCTGTTCAACCAAATTAAACCAAATGACCCATCATTGACATGTTTTACATTAAACACGGTGTGGAGATTCTGTGAAGATGGTATCCATTGGAGATGACAGCATAGGCATTGAAAGATACCTGTGCCTTTTAATGTAAGGTTTGCTCAAAGTTAATAGCCATACTCAAAACTAACACGAAAATACCAAACAAGACAGCAACATTCTTTTGATGGCTCTCTTACTTGAAACTCCTGAGTGCCTGATGCTGGACTGCAATTCAGATTCCAATTCAGAATACTGATCACTAACTTTGTTTACAAGCTGCCTGCAAACAGAAATTAACTTCACTTTGATTACAAATTGAATGCCAGTTATTTAAAAGTACCTCCTCACCCCTAGCTCAGGACACAGCCCTTTTGCTCAGCACCAAGAATCTTGACCCAACTCCAAGTCAGTTGCAGTTTTAAGAGACGTGATGGACTATAGTTAACAAGCCTTGGCCGGTGCTAGTGTGGTGTGTTTTTTGAGAAAGCTGTGTTATTTTCATGACTTGTATTTCTCTACTCAGGAGTATTTTATTAATGGTATGGCACATTTTCACTGGGGATAAACCTGCAATGGTCCACCATTCCATCTCAGGGAGGTAGAAACCTTAAGCAGAAACTTACTTTTGGTCACCAGGCAAATGAATCTATTTAAATGCTGCATGTTCTTGTCATACATTTCACACCTAAAGATACTTACTTGAGTTGCCGCATCTCGTAGGAGTCTGACTGTCTCTCATCCACAAGGCTGCTCAAACTTCTTGACTGTGAGCGCTGATTCTCTGAGAGTGATGATAAAGCCTAAGCAGTATGTTATTAAAAACAACCAATTTAGTGCTCTCAGCCAACTTATCAATATCCTACAAAGATCTCAACAACATAATGAAGGTAAGTCATGCTGCATGCCATTCAAGCTGTGCAGTAAATAAAGTCAATGTAAATGTTTATTTCAATCATCCTGCACTAACAAAAAACAAGATTACATATCTTACCCTGTCTAATCGGTCCTGTTTGCGAAGTACATCTCTAGACTCAGCAAGGGTTGAGTGTAATTCCATTTCTATTTTGCCTGGCAAGGTTTGAATAAGAATTAGGTGTAAATATATTCATAATTATAATGATAAGTCTGTTAAGATATAATAAATATATTAAATATTCACTACAATAAAGGCATGCAGGGTAAAAATCATTTTTACTTACCCAGCTTTGTTTTCAGCAGCTTGATATCCCTTTGTAAAGACTCTGTTTCATCTTCGATAATTTTTCTCCTTTAAAAGATTGTACAATTAAACACAAAACAGGTTACAAATTCATCAAGGAGGATGCCTCTAATTCATTTAAAATATTACTTTCCAGATTTCTTGTTCATTTCATGTTTAACCCTAACCCTCAAGCAGTTATGAATAAAATTACAAAATAAAGGCAAATTTAGTGAACTCTGTATTGAATAAATTAGTATTGGACAACAAACAGTATCATTACTGCTTTAACGGTAATATCCTGCTAACGATTGTATCCTAAATTTAGTATAGATAAAACTATTTCTGATCACTGCCTTGCAATGGAACACATCAGATTAATTTATTTGGTCTCAAATAATTCAAAATCAAAATTTTGGATGTCTACTTTGTTAGGGATGAAAGATAGTTCTAAATTAACATGGACCCTAAATGTGATTGAAACCCTATATGTAAAAAAACTTACGCTTCATTCACAACAGCAGAGTCACTGAGAGGAGAGTTCTCAGCAGATGTCAGCTTGAGCTTTGCTTGGCTTTGAACAAATTCCAGTTGGCTGTATACATCGCGTTTAAACTGAAAGGTGATCAAAATGTATGATTATGTTAACCAGGGAAAATTCAGAAAGTTATGACCAATAAAAGAGCTCTGTTTTATTAATATTAAGTTAATTCCTTGATTTATCAATATTAATCCACACCACTGTTAGATGTCATTGATCGCTGCAGCTGAAAACACTTGTTTTAAAACAACTGCACAGATTACGAGTTTCACAGCAAGATTACAACCCCTTTCAAGACAAACTTGTTATCCCCAGCTGTTTGATTGACAGTCTAAACATGCTATTAATCAAACATGTATACACATACTTGTTCCAGTTTTCTTTCTGTTTCCATGTCCACTCCTTTTTCTCTGAGCCTCTCACTTAGGCTGCTCATTTCATCTGTTATAAAAGCATAAAAAATAATAACACTGTATATTGTACTTTGTCACAAAGATACTTGCAGGATTTTGACAACAGCTACCGCTGTTAGCGTTAATTTCTGTTCCAGGCCCCTGACGATGACACTAATGATGATGATGACGACAATGACAATGATGATGATGATGATGATGATGATGAGTGCAAGATATAAACTGATCAACAATGTATGTAATCACTTGACACTGGTGGGAAATACAAAATCACCAAGTTTCAGAACAATCTGAATTCACAATAGATGCTTGGAAAGATACCCTGTGCCATCCCAACCTGCTGTACCATTTAAAAAAAAACCTTTTAAATAACATATAGTTGGAAAAAGCCATTTTGCAAAACCTTTCATTTTCTTTATCTCGGCGGCTTGTACATCTTTTTCTTTCTCCAGTCTCTTAACTGTGTCAGTTAAATGACTCACTACCTGAGGTAAGGCAAGTGAACATAAAAATATTATATTCTTGATTGGAAAAAGGACTCAACTTCTAAATATAAAAGTACTGTGATTGACAGTCAATGAACTTAGAAGCTGCTCTTAAAGACACTTTAATCTTTAAAAGTCATTTTACACAAGGGCACCATTGACAACCCAAGAGATTGCCTGTGATGTTAGATTTGTAAGCATTCTGGCCAACATATTGTAAACATTAAAAAGTAGTAATTCAATTTGTAAATGTAATATGTGAGAAATAAAGTATGTTGTTGTTGTTGCTGTTCATCTTAGGAAAGCAGTAAATACACCTAGTCACTTTTTTTCATGCAGCCGCTTGACTTAAATATGAGCACTAACCTCTGCTTGTTCCTCAACTCTTTCGAACAACGCATTCACTAGAGCAGGTGACGTCTGACTGGATGGGACACTAGTTGCCATGCCAACCGTTTTTATTGGACTATGTTTACTGCTTTGCAAGTCCCATGCTACTGTACCTGTATATGGACTCCTTGATGCCTGGGATCGCAGGTTACTGGCTGAGACAAAGATAATACAAAGAGGCAGCAAACATCTTACTGTGAGACTCGGAAAACCATGAACACTTTGATTTGATTCTGACAGGTCAATAATTGTGTGCTGACCAATCACCATAAAGTTCAGGACATGCGAGGAAAACTCAAAACCAGGGGCGGATCTAGGGGGAGGATGCAGGGGTTGTCTACTCCCCCCCCCCCTGAGATGAAGCCTTCTTCTTCGTATTCACTTTTGAAACTTGTTTACCTCACCACTCAGTTACACCATTCCTTAGGAGTGCAACCCCTCTTAAGAAAGATCCTGGACCCACCCTTGAAGACTACAAACTAATTACCACTGCTGTTAGCAGTTTAGTTTTCTCCACCAACACTTTGCCAGGTATATTGGCTTTTTCCTTGTTACACAATAACATTCCATAAGTATTTCTGGTGTTCCCAGTATTGTTGATATGATGTCCATGGAGGGTCAATCAAGTAGCATAGTAATGTATCGGTGGATGTTCACTGATCGAAGGTGGATGGTCTATATCGCTGGGTTGGCGGATGACTCTCACTCAACTATCAACTGATACAGGACCCACAGTTGACGCATATGCCACCAGTAGTTGACTGATAGCTGACCGATAGTTGACTAGTAGTTGACTAATAAGCTACTGATGACATCATGGTCAATATATCAGCTGACATCTGACGGAGTGTGAAGATTAGACCGCTATATCGGTGGGCTGTCAATTGATTCTCGGTCAATAGCTGACCGTAGAGTGTTGATCGAGTAATAACCAACATATTGACCGCTACATTGGTCGATATGTCAATCAAGCTCCCCATAAGATACATGATCCAAAATTTCTGCATATACCAGAAAAGTACAGCGTTGTTCACTGATCTGTCCATGATATTGCAGGATCGACTTTTAATACAATTAGTTTTCAGAAGGGTGTTATAAAATAGCAGACTTCTTGCCTTCCAGATGAAATCGAATTAAGCAGTCCTATGCATTACATGTAGCTTCTCATGTGGTCAGTTGAAATATGCAATGCCTTGCCCACGTGTTGAGTGTTTACATTGCGCTTCACAAGGTTATCCCGAAAATTGTCTTATACATTGGACCATCGAGGTAAACATAACAAGTTTACATTACAATACGAATTGCAGTTGTTCATTCTATACATCGTCATACCATTCAAAGAGAAAACGTCCAATCACAATGATACATACTTACCGCCATAACGGTTTCCACTTGACCTGGGGTGGAATGTTTTTGTTTTACTGGTGGAACCCAAGCGATCCTAAAGTGTAAAACAAACAAACTGTCAGTAGATCTAAAGGAACATGAACTTTTTTGGGGGATTCTGACAGACACAGCTAAAACTATATTTGTTTCAGTGTGAAATTTCGGTTAATAAATCCGCCGAAAGTAAGCTTCAGTTAATTTTTGCGTACGCTACTTTTGCATTTTGGCAATCATTTTTTTGTACTTGGCGTGATGGAATGTGTGACCATTAGTACTTCCAAGATCGACGGCTACATGTACTAACCCGTACTCTTGCCAAGTTCGTCTCTGTTTCACGAACGATAGAAGAAAACTTGTTTTCCCACTCCATTTCTCGAACTACAGAAAAGCACTAAAGTGAAATTGCTCATTTCACTACAACGGTATCACATCGTTAAGGCTCATTAAACATACCGCTGACCATGGCGACAAACGGGCGCAAATTACTTCTCTCCCGACCTTCCCTGCCCCCACTCAGTTGCAGAAGCAACTTACCATTTTCAAAATTACACTCTTGAATATACACGGATTTGACTCAGCGGCAAAATGCCACGCGTGTTTCTAAAACACTAAATCAACCAGTTAAATGATACGCAATCTTGCTGATTCCTATAGGGGGTCCGGTTTCCCCACCACCACCCACTGGATCCGTCAATGAACGAGTTTGTTCTTGAATCCATTTTCTCCAGTTTTACGTTCAATATTTTCCAGTTTACGGTATCAATATGATTTTTAGACTTTTCCACTGGACTTTGGACACGTTTTCTGGGTTGCTGATCAGTGGAGTAGTCCTAATCACTTCCGGTTACCTCAGCGTCGCCTACCCCGTAGAGTCGAGTGTACGACGACTGCAGGGCAGGTGGGGACTAGCTTTGAGAGTCACCCGAGCTCGAAACAAGTTGCAAATCGAAAACAAAGCACACCTACCCAAATTGAAAATCCCGATGATGGCGATACTAGCAATTTCTCTAGATCTCTACAAGATAGCCAAACTCTTCAAGGAGCTACGACCCCTTTGGAAGCTACAATCCTGGTCAAAAGTCTTGGGACACTTTGCACTTTTGCCATCATTATTATGATATTTCTGTCCACCTCCCCTTCCCCACCCCCAATACGATGTTGATGTTGAATCATCCAAAGTCCAACATTGTTTTGGGGGGAGGGGGGCTCGGCAAATTAAACAATGACGTCCCACTTCAAAATGATGCCGCACCAGTTGGCATTTTGTCAAATGTCTCAAGGATGCGCGCTATTCGTAAAAATAACACTTTCAGGGCATCAATCTGCCTGCAGGATGAAAGAGCTGGCCACGTCACGCCGCCAAAACACTCGAAAACGGCGCGAATTTTCATCCAATAAAATCAATCATTTGGAAAGAATACACCAATCAGAGAACGAGGTTTACACTTGGCCCGAGGGCAAGCCGAGTGCTCTGCAACATCCAACATGGCTTCCCCTTTCGCTAATTTCGAGGAGTTTTACGCTCCCAGTGCCACAGATGTTTTAGCCTTTGTATTTATTTTATTGTGGTTAGTGTTAGTATTATTCCAGTTGATATCTATAGCAACAGGGTAAGTATTGCTTGCTTCACTGTTTGCTGAGCTGCGTAATTCAATATTGTCTTGTTCGCTAGACTCATTCGGTTGCTTGTACACGAGCCATGTTTGTAGCAATTTTACTGATTTGTGATTGTATCCGTATTTTAGAAAAATATACCTCCACAAATGCCCTCTCATTGCCAATAATAAAGAACTTCCAGGGGTTTCAATCTTGAAGGTGAGATATCGTTCATAATCGACCTTATTGTCCACATGCAATTTCAAATGTTGTTTGATCGATCAGTTAAGTCATGTTGGAGATTAAAAACATTTCTCTTATTAACGGTTTGTGTATCTTCATTTTGTAGCCCTTGGTCGGAGATGATCCGAATCTTATAAAAAATCTTCAAACTTTTTTCGAACTCAAATACCCAAAGGTAAGATACAGAAGTATCGTACGCTCCACCATATCAGTGACTAAATTCGCTATGTTTCATTTCTCGACGACATCGTTTTAAAATAAACTTACATTAGTTAATTTTTCTCCTTTTAATTTTTCTCGTTGATGTTATTTGGAGCCCGCCCGTTGACGGTTGAGATATGTTAAAATATGCATACGCTAGTTTACTAAACAAGTCTGTTGTCTAATTTGTTTCAGTTTGAAATTCTCTTCTGTGTACAAGATGAGCTAGATCCGGCTGTCAAAATTGTACGCCAGTTGATGGAAGCATTTCCTTTAGTGAATTCACGACTATTTACGAGTAAGTTAAATCAGAGCAAAATTATCCGGATAATTTAATCTTGGTGGGGTTGTTTTATATTTACATAAATATGTCCCCAGAGAGCTTGAATCTGGAATGGTCTCCAGACCACAAAGCTAACTGCATTTTAAAATACATGAACTCAAATCGAATAAACAATGACAGAAAGAAAACTTTTGAAAATCGATTTCCTATTAAATTCTCGACAGGGTCTGAATTTGGGCAAATGTTGGCATGGCAAAAATTTCCAGATAGGCATTGTATTATGCCTGATGATGCTTATGAATATCTGTCTAAATTGCACAACTTTGAAATTTATAGGGTCGTTCCAAAGCAGATAATTATAACAGCATAATGCTCTGAAATTTTTTTTTCAAAATTTAGAACAATACAAGGGTGCTTTCTTTTAATTCAAAAGGATTAGAATTCTTGTTTATCTGTCCTGTGGCTCATTAAATATTCAGCTCCATTATGTTCTTATTCAAAGCCCATTCTTGAATCTTCGCCAAGTGAAAATATGAATAAATTGGCTGTGTTTTTAAATTGTTAACCATAATATTATGCCCTCAGATGAAATTTTCTTTGATGTTTTTAATAACCTTTTGTAGGATAGATAATCTTTATTTAAACACAGTTAAAAAAAAAAGTCAGCTAAAACTACTAATAACTAATAGTGAAAAAAAAAAAACAATTAAATTTAAAAAAAAGCTGCTTTCCACGAATGCTGTGCCTCATACATTTCTTTGAGTAGGCATTTAAACTGCCTCAGGGACTCTGCTTCCCTTAAGTCACAAGGAAGACTGTTCCAAAGAATGGCGCCACTATAGCTAAAGCTGTTTTTATAATAGTTTGTGCACAGCAATGGAACATTAAGTTTGTTCTCAGAGTCCCTTAGATTACATGTATATGCAGCTTCTCGCCTCTGGAATTTAGAACTTAGATATTCTAGAGCCAAACCGTGCAAAGACTTATAAACCATTGTAGCTCTTTGAATTTGCTGCTGGCTTGTTAAATTTTCCCACCCGAGAAGTTTGAACAGGTGACCAGCATCTATGTCATAGTTTGAGTAGGTCAAAACACAGGCTGCTCTTTTTACAATATTTTTGTAAAACAGTTTTTAGAAGTTTTTGTAATTTTTCTTGGTTTTTTTCTTTTTACTTTGTAATTTTAAAACAATATTTTTGCAAAGTGCATTTGATCATTGAAATTAAAGTTGCTCTGTATAAAATAATTTCAAACATTTTTATAATAATAATAATTATATATGTAGTGTATCTTAATAAGTGTTTTGGGGTATGGATGTTTCAAGAATTGCCTTTGTGCAGATTCATGATGATACTAGTGCTTTGTGAAGCCAACTGCCACATCAACTTACATTAATAACCTCCCTAAATGTTTTTAAACAAAATGTTCAAACCTTCAATTTTAAGCATGTTTTTAAGCTAGGTAAGTTTTTAATTATGTCCATTTTAATATATTAGGACCTACTTTTTACAATATTTTTTTTTAAACAGTTTTTAGGAGTTTTTGTATTTTTTTTTTTCAGTGTCTTTTTAGTTTGTAATTTTAATTCTGTATAATATTTTGTAAAGTGCATTTGATCACTGAAATGAAATTTGTGCTACATAAATTTCAAACATTTTTATTATAATGATGTTATTATTAGTGGTTGATTGATGACAATGGGAAACAGGCAACGTGACACTTTAATCTAGCAGTATTTGTTGATGAATAACTGTTGCAAAGTTGTGCTATAAGAGAATTTTTCGGATTTTTAAAACAAATAGAATTTTGACTAGTGAAATTGATGATCAAAATTAAGAAGGAGGTGAGAATCGTTGAGCTGATTTTTTATTATTTTACAATCTTCCATGAAATGTTTATAAATTACTCAAACTTGGAGCTTAATTTGACCACTTTGACATGTGCAAATTACACTGTCATTCTTTAGCCAATCAGAGAAAAAATATATAGTATTTAAGCTTGTGCTAATTATTTTCTTTGTGGGGTTGTCATTGTTAAAAGGTTTGGAGTAGAGATTTTGTCTTCTCAAATTGAAGTTGTTTTTAAATTCTTGAATATTAAGTTTCTGTTATTAACATTTAACGAGTTTCTGACTGCCACCGAGCAGTCAACTCAATGTAGAGAGTTCACCAGAGGTCACATGTGTGTGATTGACCCAAGACTTTGAGCAATTTCAGTTTTGAAATAGTATAATGTATTTTTCCAGAAAATATCCATACCCCTCCCACAGAGGTGTTTGGTTTGAAACATCCCCTCCCCCCACCCCACACCTCTCTGGATTCATACTATCCTTTGAAAAATTGGCTTTTGAGATCTCCCTCCCACTTAGAATTATCACTAACCCTTCTCAGTTTGGGTATGGAATACCAATTACTATCTCATGAATGCAAGACATAATTTGGTCATTTTGTCAGAATGGGGAAATTCCAGTCACTGGAGAGTGCTTCATAATAGATAATTAAAATATCCAGATGCTGGACAGCTTAGGCTCCTTAGTATTCAAATGGGTTTTATTTAACAATCAAAGTGGTTTTGTGATTGACTACTCCTTGGTTGTGTTGAGTCTAGGAGGAACACAATCAACTGGAAAATTTGGTTAGACTTGTCAGTACATCTGTATATAGATTAACTAATCAGGAAAGAACCCTGTTGTAATGGATGCTGTCTGAAGGATGACTATAGATTCACATACTTTCACTATTTTTTGTCAAACTGAGTTGCTAATTAAAATTTGCTCATTTCTGTTTTGACCACAGCTGCCAAGACAATTGGTGTCAATCCAAAGATAAATAATATGAATCAAGGTTATAAGGCAGCCAAGTATGACCTGTTATGGATCTGCGATAGTAATATTAAAGGTAATTTAGTTTGTCCAAATCATGCCACAATTCACTACAGTGCCCCTTTAACTTGACACATGTATATTAATTAATTTGAGATGCTATGATGCTAGCATTCTATGATGACATGGCTAAATAGCCATGTGGCATCTTGCTTGGCATGCCACGTCACTGCAACACCTGTTATGTAGTGTTCTGTTTATATCTTTCCCTGTAACCGTGTTTTTTTCTGGCAGTTGCCTGATGATTGCTTCAGAAGAAGCATGAAACTCTGAGAAGCAAGTAAATGTTTTGGACCAACTAATCCAGCTCTGTAATTCTGTTATTATAACTTGTTCTAGTTTAACTATTGAGCACTCTAATAGCCAATGAGGATTTCAACCTGCTATTTGGTTATATCTATTTATTAATATTTATTGTCTGTTATTGTTGATTTTTAGTCCATCAGGGTACTCTTCAGGAGTTAGTGTCTCATATGGGGCCAGGTGTAGGAATGGTTCATCAGGTATTAAGTAAAAAACTGTTTTTTTTTTCTTCCATGTATGTATACAAGGAAAATAGAATCACTGTACTCAGCATGGAAAGTGTGGCTAGGGGTAGACATTTTTTAACTGTTATTTAAAAAATACAAAATGTACCGTGTTTCTGTCGACTTATAGAAACAGGAGCATAAGTTTGGGAGAATGAGAAATGCTGTGGGAACACAAGCCGATAGGCGTCAGTATTTCCACAGCTTTTTCGACTTCTCCCAAACTTCCATGAGTGTTTCTATAACTCAACAGAAACATGGGCGACATGTTTTCCATTCTTTTTAGAAAATTCTGCAACTAAAAAAAACACAAACTGTTTACTCTTTGCTTGCGTCATCATCACATCAACAGCTCATGTCAGTTTGGTGTTTCCATCACGTTATAGAATCACGATTTTCAACCAGTCAGCAGGCATATTTTCTTTGGCCTATTTTCTAAAGGTAATCAAGGCAGTGATTGTCAGAAAAGTGATTATTGTAACAATATTGTGAGATAGTAGCCTGGTTACCCAGCACTGATGTGAGCTAGCCAACACAGTTGCTGTATGTAGGCCTTTTCAGAACTACGGAATTACAGGGACTTCACAAAGCTGTTCTTGTGTTCTTTTATGCCTCGAGATCCTTACAATGATCTCGCCAAATGCTAATTTGTAGTCTTTTTTATCTTGAAGCTTTAATGCGTATAATTATTATTTTCAATAGATACCATTTGTTGTTAACTGCATGGATTTTGCTGCTTGTGTAGATAAGGTAAGAGAAGATATTGCTTGAAGGTATGGGAGTGTGTATGTGTTATGTGGCTCAACTTATACTTGTTCACAAATCTTGACAGGTCTACTTTGGAACCCAACATGCATTTGTATATTTGCTAGCTTATAGCCTGGGTCAGCTGTGTGCAAATGGCATGTCAAGTCTCTACAGCAAACCTCTTCTGGATGAGATAGGTAATGTTGAACTCAAGAGTTATTGTATTCACAAACAGTGATTTGGGATGCTAAGAATCTTTGGTGCAGTTTCATTTCATTGATATATAAGGTGAGAGAGAATATCTACTGGATTCGCATAAATACTTATGGTGTGATCAAAATAATCAATGGCACAGAAATAGAAAACAATTTTATGGGTCATTAGCAAGGGAAAGGCTGTGGTCTAAATCAAATTATGAGGAGCCCACAGGTTCCTAACCATGAAATCCTGGGTGCCTAGCACCTAAGCTGATATGAAAAAAAATTAAGTTTTCCTGTCCCCCAAAGGCAAAAGTTAGTCGCCGTGGCACCCAGGCACTTCTAGAACACAGGCCTGAAGGGTGTCTCTAATTCACACACTACTAATTTTGCAGGAGGTCTAGAAGTGTTTTCTTGCTATATAGCAGAAGATTATTTCATATCAAAAGCAATATTTAAAAGGTTAGTTACAAACTTTGGTATTTTGATTGATGCATTGAGTTAATCTGTATCTTCACATTGATGTTGTTGTCAAGAAGACTGGCAGTCCTATTAATGGTGATAGTAACTAGATAGTAACTTCACATTTTGTTGATTGCAGGGGAATGAAAGTTGTTCTGAGCTCTGACCCAGCCATGCAGAATCCAAGTAGTTACTCTCTTTTTCGATATCAGCAAAGAATGGTCAGGTATGTTGACATTACTTTTACTGTGAACAATCCTTTGACAGTAAATGTTTGCCTTTGCTGGCCTTGCTGCACGTTTTTCTGCATCTATATGTGTTCATCACAGTTGACGTTAGAAAGTGTGCACAGTTTTCAATCCCAGATAATTTAAATTTAATTTTTTGAAGTTAACTATTGATGGAGTTATAGACAAAAGTGCTGCTTTAACAAAGCTTCATCATGTGTCTGCTAACTGTACCTAGCCCAAAGCAAACTTTGAATATACATTAAGACAATAATATACATAGTGTTGAAATTGAAAGACAAATGACTTCCTTTGGTTGATTTTTTTTTTTTTTTTTTTTTGCATTCTTTTTTAACCTGTTTGACCATGAATCCCCTCACTGGTATCCATTGTTTTAAAACAAAGACATGTTTGTGATTGGTTGTTTTATTACCGTGACTCTTTGATGAGAATCTATTGACTGTTCATCATGTTGTTTTCTAGATGGACCAGGTTGCGTCTTACAATGCAACCATTTCCAGCTATATTTGAACCCCTAACAGAAAGTGCTGTGATTGGTTTACTGACCTGCTGGGCAGTACATCATCTTTGGGAATTCAGTGCAATACTTTTCTTCATTGAACACCTTGTTTTGTGGTTCATGTTGGATTATATTTTACTCAGATGTCTTCAAGGGGTGAGCATTTTTTAGTACTATTACAAGCCTAATATCCATTCTAAATATCACTAATTCTTTCTACGAGTCTCAAGCTTAAGGTGGTGGCTTACTACAGTTTTGATGGATTATAACAGCCCAACTCCTAACTCTTTTGAAAAATGTTCCAAGATGTTTCTACTTTCTCTATTTACTGTTTAATTAAGTCTTTTACCATTCTATGTGAAACTTGAACAATTAAACGTCAACAAATGGCCAAAATGAACGACCGAGTACCTAAGGAGAGACTGGGCACTAGTAGGTTAAACCACGTTTTTCTCAAAATCTACCCGTATGACCCCACCTCAAAATTTCAGGAATAAGAAATTGGCTCTGATTTAACATTCAGGCAAAGTAAAATAAAAATCTGTAAGACAGATTTTGAGCTACTTTAGATTTCACATTTTCTTAGTTTGCAAAAAATCAGCAAGTTGTTGTATTGCGTTAGACATTCTCTATACCTCTCTGACAGAAGATGCTGGTTTCCTTTGGTATCTCCAATGAGCTTTCCTTGTCATTTCTTCTTTAGTATATGTTTGTGTCATCACTTATTTTGTCTGACTTGCATGCTTTTGTTTCAGCCCAACAATGCCTTACCACCGTTATGGAAAATCTTTCTGGCATGGCTGTTTAGGGAGTTTTCATGGATAGCATTTTTTCTTCAAGCAGCGTGTGGCCGTGAGATTGAATGGCGAACATCACACTTTGTGTTGAGGCTAGGTGGTAAGGCTGAGCGACTCCAAGAAAAATGCCAAGACCTAAACAACCACTGCTGTTGAACTGAAATGAACACTGAACTGCTATTTATTATAATTCTAAAGTCTACTACACACAGTAGTGTGGTCTCAATCGAACTCGTTAAGGGTAGTAAGAGCAATTTCATGGTTCCCTTGTGGAACTTAGCGTTAAGAAATTTGTGGGAACTTATATTTGGGGATTCCTAGAAGATTTATCTGCTACTTGCAGTAATGTCAGTGCTATCAGATGATTGTACTGCTGTACTTGATGCCAGAGTTGTAGACAAACCGCAAGGTGCGCTTACATTATATCAGTTTTGTGTGGAAAGATGAGGTTAAAGTGCCAAATAGTGAACTTGTTTTCTAAGCAATTTCAAGGTAAAAGGAGACTTAACACCTCTGGTATCAAGAAAAAGTTCTTTATTAAATGTAATGAAATCTATGAGTGTTAAGGATGAAATCTTATTTTGTAAAACGTGGAAAACAATTATTTATTTTACATCATAGAGTTTTGCAGGATAGGTTTTACGCCTAATGCAGTCATTTGTGACAAGGAATTGTAAGTTATTGTAATTTATGTCAAGCATGTTGACATGATGGTTTTCATGTTATAATGCTGTTAATGCTTATTAAACAGCAACAACTTAGAACCAGATTCTTAATGTACTGCTGATTCATTTTCTATTCAGGGATGTTTTATGCATACAGTATTATAGCGAATAGTACATGTGAACGTGAGTTGCTTTGTGAGTTTCTTTGACGCGTTTGTGAAAAGAAAAATGCGTTACGTGTTGCGATATGCAGAAAATATTAGTTTCAAACTGTCAAATATTGTCTTTCACGGCACAGAGTCTCAAATATGTTAATTTAGTTATTCTTATGACGGTCTGGCTTTTCTCAGTTTCTCTCGTTAAGCTGGGGCATTTGTTTGCATTCAAATAGGAAAACCATCATGGCGGCTGTAGTGAGTACAGCCAATTCACAAGGTAATTCTCCATACACACATACGTATCGTGATCTTAGTTTGCTTCATTCGATTCTTTAAAGTGGTTTTGCTTATGAAACTTGAAATGTCGTTTTCAGACAGAAGAGGAAAGAAAAAAGGCGGGAAAATGCGTTCGTGGTAGAACACTACTTGATACTTGATTGGTTAAGCGGGAGGATCAACTCTGATTGGTCCATTCACAGGATACTAGTTGCGTCTTTGTTTTACTGTACGATTCTCTTTTTTCCATTTCGGTGAATTTTAAGACGCTCATTTTTTTTATTTTTGTTTAACGAAAGGGCAATTTATATACTTTTTCTTTAAACTGCTTTTTTAAGGTTTTTTTTCCCCGAATCCACACGTTAGTATCCGCTATTATTGGTTTGGATTTTATTATAAGGCTAACTGTGCAGGTATTTTTTTTTTTCTGGTTGAAATTGTACTAAATCGGATGTGCTTTCTGATTATGCCAGTTCTTTATTTATCTCACATTTAAGTTAATGCACCTTATGTAAAATTCGAGGAAACTGAACGTAAATTCTATTTAGTGACTAAGTAAGTTTTCAAACGTTCCTTACCTATTAGCAGTACTTATCAATAGTTTAAGGCTTATTCAAGCCGTTTATTTGATAAGAAAGCATGGTCTGCTATGCTTAAGATTTTGACAATAATTTACAATTGAATTTACTCAGTCGGAAGAAAATTAACGCTTCTTTCGGAGACATCGTGTTCTGTTGTGTTTGGTTTGTAAGTTTACTTGTTGTTGAGTAAAGAAAGTAAAACTGAAAGTGACAAATAACCATGGTGTTATGTTCATTTCCTTCCAAACATATGTCACTGTATTCCTTTGTAACTACTTTACGGTTTTCTTGATGTGACGAATATTCAAGATCTCGGTATTTGGGGTGTGACTGAAAAACATGACCTAAAACTTTGGACGTTAAAAGTAATGATACGTTTTATTTTCTACGGCGAATTTTATTTCAGTAGCAAAGCTTGTTGGGATTGTGGGCGACTCTTCGTGTTGATAGGTCTATAAATAACAAAGGGTTTAAATCTTAATTAGGGCTGGCAAAGATGTTATTCTGAATCGTTTTCTTTTAATTATTACTTGTGTTTCGCTTTTCAAAAACACAGAAAAATAGGGATGACAATATAACAGCATGAAGCGTTTCGTTTGTTCAAACTAAACTCATTAACATTGGTAAAACCCTAGTCTATGATTGGTTGGTTTTAGCGATTGCACCTGTTGACTTGATATCATGTATTTACATACTCACACAACACGCAGGAACACGTTTCACATCTACATCTCATTTATCAAACGCCATGTAAATTTAATGTAACCATGCTATCGCTATAACAACGTTTCATCTCTTAAAAACATTCATGTTTGGCTTACGTGGGTGAAACTGTCGGATTTGCGTTGGGTAGTTGTTATTGACTGTATTTTTCGACTGTCGTTTTTAGCCACGAACATGAGTGCTCAAGTTTCTGCCCATTCTAGAAACTCCTCACTCGGTGGAGGACCTTCAATGATTGGTATGATTAGGGCCCGAAAACTCGCCGTTAAAATGAAAAAGCGGGCGCAGTTTTTAGTGGCCGATAGGAAGCGAAGAGAAAACGCAGGCAAGACGGCTGTGATTCACTGGGATTTCCCTCGAAATTTCCGTCGAGATGATCCACCAACAAGGTTATTAGTCCCTGGAGGAAAATCCCCAACGAGCTCACGATCTCCAAGCGCATCATCGCGTTATGGCTACGTGAATGTGAGTCAACCGCCCAAAAACACATACCGCATGGAACCTCTAAGCCGCTTTTCCGAGCCAAAAGTCAAAGAGGTTATTGAAGATGTTCTGGATCAGAACCTTAATGGTCACACTTACGAAGCAGTGTTCTGCCAGGAAATGAGTAAAAAACTCTCTGATATTATCAAACAACGGGTCAAGTTCTTGGGATTTTCACGGTACAAATTCATCTGTATTGTACACATGGGACAGGTTAATAATCAAGGAATGCGGATAGGAAGTCGCTGCTTATGGGATCAGAAATTTGACAATGTTGCGGAAGGATATTTCAGAAACGGTGACTTATTTGCAGTCGCCACTGTGTTCGGTTTGTATTGCGAGTAGACAATAACAAGACGGCAAGCCTGAACTGGCGTCTTCTGCCATTGACCGCGTAGCTTCATTGTTTTCTTGTTAGTTGCCTAAGAAAATAAACGTCTAGAAAGGAAATTGTGTTAAGCCGGGGGAAATATGATTGCTATAGCACGATAGTAGATTTGATATGAAACTCTCGAACCTAGTGTATGCAAATTCAGGGCCGGATGAAAACTAAGAACTGAAAACATTGTTACGAATTTTAATAACAGTAACTGGACGAAAATTACCCCGCAGAGAAAGACCTTTAAAACAATAATTCAAATTGCTGTGTGTCAGACCTCGCTTTCCAATTATGAAAGCGGTAAATGACATTTATTCAAACACCTGTACACATTGTTAAAATACATGTCACGCTACTAGAGCCCGCTATAAACACTAAAAAAGCTGACTAACTTAAACAGGTCAAAATTTAAATATTAATAAAGGCACAGTGAAAATTCTATATTTGCTTTACAGAGGTGTCCACAACAATCGTTGTTCAACTTCTTTTATTCCCACGCCTTGCTTTAATATTTCCATGGTAACCGTATTTTCACAAGCTTCTCCACCCAAATTTATATTCACGTTACTTCAGGTTTCAGAAGAGCTCACTCTGTTTACAGTCTTAGTACATTTTGACTTCTTCGTCAACGGTTTTAGCGTTTTTATCCGATTTTTGGAAACACTGATTTTTTTTAAACCAAGATGGCGTTTCTAAAGTGTTGGTAATTGATTCTGGCAGGCAACAACTACGGGTGCTATACAAACCATAATAATGGCAAAATCGATCATACTTCTAAAGATACTGAGGGGGAAGGGGACGGGGGATATTTCTGTTCCACCCGCTACCAGGCCCGCGCCTGCGTTGCCAGCGTAAAACGCAGCAAAGTAACTAAACAGAGCCTAGACAGACAATGTATTAACTACCAATTTTACTCCACAAAAACAGCAAATATCGACGCTTGTGCAAAAAGGTGATCGTTTCCGTACGACTCCTGCGCGAAATTATCAAAATGGGCATTCCATAAGCATCTGCTGGTGATATGAACACCTTGACCGAGCTGCTGACCAATCCAAACTATGCAAACTAACTTATACCTTTTCACAGGCGCTTCTGCCTTCACTTTTCTTTTAATCTCCTCGCTTATCTCAACTGATAACCTCTTGCTTTCTTCTGCAATGTACGACTTGCTTCTCAAGTGCCCCTCCAACACGTCACGAATGATCTCGCCCGCTTTTCCAGTCAAGAAGAAATTGTCGGGTTTCATTTTATATGTGTTTTCCATCATCGCTTTTTCCCCGAGATACAGAGAAGAGTTGTCGTCGACAGAATTTGCCGCAGCTAAATTGGAACTTGTAAACTTTGCAAGTGGCACTTCTGCCTGGTAATTCGGGATCACGCCTGAATTCTGACCATGGCCTACTTTCCGTCCAACAGCCGGTAGAAAAGCGCGGTTTGCAAGCAATACAGTTCGAGCAACGGAGGCAAATTTACCTTTGATCTTATCCTGTTCGCCGGCTTGTTTTAAATCGTTGCTAGGTTGTCTTTGTCCTTTTTCTTGCGCGGTTAAAAAGAAAGTTGTTTTCTTTTGAGAAGTCTTCGACTGTAGTGAGCTCTTTCTTGAAGGTTCCATTATAAAACAACCAGAGACAGAAAAATCCAAACCATTGTCTGTTTTTGGCAAACTTTGAAGTTTGAATACTGGTTCCAATTCGTGTGATTTATTCTGTAAGCTACCTTTAATAAACAGCTTCTTTTGAACTCTTAAGTAGCTTCAATTAGCTCCCTTGAGAAAACTACAGAAAAATTGTTCATTGTATAATGCAAATCGTTTAAAAAGCTTGCATGTAAACTAACGAGAAAACAACGAAGAAGCTGTTATGTTGTTTACCGTTAGAGTTTGAGAATAATTGACTTATGTCTTCGATACTAAAAACACATCAATGGTGCTTAAACTGGTCCGCATTCAGTTCAAAGTGCGCCAATCAGTAATTGAGAGATGCATGTCCCAATTAAACGCTATGCTGCAGAGAACTTAGCAATGTTGGCATCGAACGATAGATCACAGTTTAGTTTCTACTGTATTTTTCAATTTGATGAATCCGTAAACAGCTAACGGTTCGTTTCGAAGTCGTTCATATTTTATTCTGTTGAGGTGTGGAGTGGCCACTAGACTTACCACAAGTCGACCTTTTCTTAATCCTTGACTTACTAACCTCCCTCGAGCGAGGCGAGAGGGTAATCTTCGCGCGAAGAAGTCAGCTAGGAGAAACTAACAATGGAAATATTATTGGAAAGGACTTTCAGAAAGTCTAAGCGACCACCTGTACAGAAAGAAAGAAACAGACATTTACGCTAAACTAAGGGAATAGGGTCAGTTTCAATTCCAACAGAACGAAAAGTTTTGCAGTGAAACTTTCTTCGTTCATAAACACCCGATGTATCTGATGTTTTTTTTAAGTTCCTCGACTATAATGGACTTTACTTACATATCAATGATGTGAAGAATACTGAAGGATGTCTCTGGTGCGGGGCTATAGATTTCTCTCAATTTAATGACTGTTATCCAATCAGGGCTGGGGTATGTGAATGTACCTAGAAATCAGCATCTTTTCTTCGTTCTAAGCTTGACACTGTTCATTTTTTGTTAAATGAAAAGTTCAACCCGTGGTGACTGAACAAGCCATGGCCATTGGGATGTACGGGGAGGATAATGCACACGGCAAACAGCAAAGTTGTTCTTCAAACTGACATTAAACTCGGAAGCATCCACTATGTATCGAATCGTTTTTCATCGCAAATATTTTTTTTGAACTTGCGCGTCAGTCAATTAACAAAATAAACTGGCAAATGCCCCACCGTTTGGACAAACTAGCTGTTCAAATGCCCCGGGGCAGTGGCTCAATAATGTTTTATTTTCTTCTTTTTTCGTCTTACTGACACTAAAATCTAAGCTAATTCGGGCCAAAGGAAGTCCTAGCTGGGTCTTAATCAGTCCCGTAATAGTGAAATAATAGGCCATTCTGCAGATCTAGCGTCTCATTTTTGTCCTCCGTTGACTGCATTACTTCCAAAAAATTTCGGACGATTTAAAATTTTGGACAAAAAAAGTGTCCGAAAATAAAAGCGTCCGAAATTTTAAGCGTCTGAAATATTTACAGTACGGTGTGAAACTTTTAAATAGCTCCAAAGTTCCTTTATGGAGCGAACTCTAGTTTGAGACACTGCTCGAGATACTAAACGGCTTGATAGAATATTTCTTATTTTCTCGTCGGTGTATCTACAAAACCTTGAGGATGCAGTAAGATTATCATTTTCACAGATGTTGTTTCAGTCTAAAACGTATTTTGTAGGCATAAAATTACGTTGGCTATGTTTCAGCATTTTTGTCCCAAATTTTTGTCCGAAATTTGTCCGAAGTGAGATAAAAAGTGTCCGAAATTTTAACGTCCTAAATTTTTGCAAGTTATATATTCAATAAGAAAAGTACCGTATTTGCCGATGAATTGGTCATAAAAGAAGCAAAAACGCCATATAGGGTGAAAAAGCGAGGTGGTCGAATGCCTTGGGGTAACTGATTGGAAGGGTAATATCCGACCCCCGATATGGACAGGGTGGGAAAATGCCCTACTACTGCCAGGGGGGATGGGAACAGCTGACACATGGTCCTGCTAAGGATTAATGTGAGGTTAACTCTATTTATTAACATAATAAATAACCTTTTCTACTTCCTATTTACAAGAGAAAGGGAAATCGATTGAAAAGACAAGCCAGATGGCAGAAATGGACATACTCAGTTTACATCGCAAATAATCGATCTTTCTTTCTTTCTTTTTTTCCCGCTGTACAAAGGAAATGATCGAACCCTGCAGTGTACAATTGATATTTAAGAACAGCGAACTGAATATATTCTGAACATGCTAGATCTGCTGGCTGCAGTTTCGCTGTGCAGATATGTAGAATTGATTACTTTACAGAAGTGTTTTAGGCAAACAAAGCCCAAGAACTAATGCAATCAACTTTGGTAATTAAGATATAACATATTTAAGCATTTTGTGAAACGGTAACTTTCGATTACATATTCTTTGCTTGGATCCAGTGTTCTGTTGCAATCAGTTCCTATTATAGAATTTCTCAACTTGGCTTTTTCTGGTATTTCATTTGATTTAACAATTTAAAAAGTCGATTTTTTTATCGTTATTTAGTCCTCAGTTCAATCCTGTAGGACGAGAACTGAATCTTAATCATCATTTACGGTTTAAAAGTTCCTAGTAGCGTAAGTAGCGAACACAGTTCCCACCGCAAACAAGGACTCGTTTTTGTACCAGGCAGAAGCAAAGCTGTCATACTCTGGCTTCCATACCTTATGTGAAGCTTTCACTATTCCAGTGTCGTTCGCCTGTCCCATCAAAACAACCACAGTGAAATCGGAGAACTGGTGTTGAATATTTCGTAGTTTTTGTTTGATAATCTGGCTCAGTGTGTCACATCTAGCGTCGCTGTCCCATGAGGTGAAGCCAACTCCTTGTAAGTTAGATCTTAGTACTTCCTCAATCGTATCTTGTATTTGAAGATCTTGAAGTTTACAGGCCGGTTGAAGAATAAGCAAGTCGCCGTCTTTCATAAGGCCACCCAGCGGAGTACGAGAAGTAATGGCCGCGCTTTCAAAAGTGCGTTTTCTCATCATTTCGTGTCGTGCGCTCGCTAAAGAGTTTCCCGTGAAATGTTCGAAACAAGCAAGGTTGTTAAGAAGATGAGAATTTCCCGTTATGTTGAATAGTACGTAATTAGCCTGAAGCCAACAACGGAAACATACAGCCTGACAAACAAGGACGTCGTCTGCAGTTCGGTGATAAAAGACAACAAAAAAGCGAGGGCTGAAATAAAAACGGAGCTCCCTCGATGTTCGTGGGTTTTCTCTTAGACAGGAAAAATTTTCCCGCAGTTGTTTCCTGTTCGAATGAAATTTAAGTAACAATGATGTTTGATTACGACTTCGCTCGCTTAACAATTACCTTTCAGCTCTTGGAGACTTGATGAAGTAATTATGCGAAAACCCTTTGGCTGTAACTCCTATTTTCTCTCAAATCAATAACCCCAGTGTTTATCAAATGAACCTGCACTAAATGAGAAAGGGCTGTCACTGCAAAGCGACGGAAAGAAACAGGGGCCGTTGGAAAAAATTATAATCGAGGTTTAAAAACCAATACAAGGGCTCGCTACGCACTAGAAAATCGAAGATTTCTCGTTATCCAAAATGAAATGAATGGAAAACAGGCCATAAAAAATGAATCAGACGCAAATCCGCTCATCAGCAAAGGGAAAAATAATCTTTCGGTAGTAAATGAAACTGTGAATGGCCTTTGTGTCTCTCGGAAGCCTTCATTAACCGCTTTCTTTCATATTTCTAAACCAATTCATCATAACAAAATAGAGCTTAATGACGAGGGAATTATGTTGGCTTCGCTTTGTCCTCCCGAACGCCTTAATTACGTCAGTGTGGTAGATAAGTTGTTCGGCAAAGGTGCAACATTTTGAAGATTTTAGGAAATGAGTTCCTTGAGCAAACATATCGCAATTATTGGAAAACTACGTGCACTTCTCAGCATGCTGGAGAATAAAAGTTAATTAAAGGTGCGAGACGTCCTTAAGTTCGGCAAGATTATCACCCACCCAAAACACACTCATTAGTAATCACCAGACATTTTGATGATTCTTCCCATTTTTGCTTTCCCCTTTACTCGCAAAATTACCCAGCTTTAATTTTGTTCGTTGAAAAGAAAGTATTTTCTTCGCGTAGCAGAAAACAGGTAAAGAATGTCATGAACTATCAGTTAAGGTGGAAATTTCTTTAAATTCCGTCTCCCTCCCAAAGGCCTGTTATATCGAAAGCGGAGCCATTTAAACGCAGCATTAAGGACAATGTCGCTAATCAGTTGGTGGCACCAATTAAGGCCTGTTGGTTAGCGACCGAAACTTTTCCGTAAAACATTTTCTCGTTAACGAAGGAAATTAAGACAAATGCTTTTATTCTGACAAACAATGGTGGCTCAATTATTTTATCACATTTTATCACCGAGAAAAATGAACGGGAACCGGATAACATTAAAACATTGATATTCACTTGAAATGTAATTCTGCAAAAAGCCTCCCTCAATTATCGTGTGGTTGTTTCATGGAAAACTGTTTCGCCAAGTATCAYTTAATAYCTAACCATCCAAAGAGTTGCAGTTGACGCTTTTACATCTAATGCCGGTTTTGTTTCACATTCTCTTTTTCTTCAGTTCAAAGCTTTTCTTTAACGGGAGGGTCTCTTTCTTTAGTAGTTCAAACAAAATTATTCCGTTTCTTCTTTTTAATTTTGTAGAAAAAAAAAAAAATAATGATAAAAGCTCAGTTAAATTTGATTTTGATTTTGTCGGTAAATCATGGACTTTGTTTTACCCATACGTTAAGATTAATGCACAATTATGAAATTTCAAAGCTCAAAATGTCCAAAACCAGTAGAAAAAAAACCGGTAGAGTTATCTCGAGCCTAACCGCTGACCACTCGAGGCTCAAGATTGTAGAGCTGTTGGAAAGCCAATTTAAATACCGGGGGAGGGGACTCCCATTTAAAAAGAACAGGGGTGCTCGTCGGAAATTTTAAAAAGAATCCTAGGAGGTACTTTGTGGGTGTGGCTTGAAACTATTTTCACCCCTAAGAGGTACCGATTCTTAAACAACACATTAACTGACGCTTTCATAATTTTTAATACAGTCAAGGACGATTGCTTTGAATACCTTCTACTCGTAAAGTGGATTAACAAATGTCTCCTGTCATATATATTTTTTTGGCTCAATACCTTAAAAGGTACCGCAAAAGCTCTCGCTGTGGAGCTTATGAGGTTGAACACCCTAGGGAGGTACCAACACGACCCATGAAAGGTATGACGAGCACCCCCGTCCTTTTTACGTGGGAATCCCTCCCCCACCCCCATTGCCAGGTTTAATATAACGCCAATATCAGCGCGCTTTCACTTTTCGTAAAATTTCTTTTCCCCTTTAATCCTGGTTTGGCAATAAGTTCATTGACAAAGTTTACAACGTTGAATAAAAGATCCGAGGACAACTCACACAGTAAAATTAGCTTAGCTTTCATGATTAGCTCAGTTCATGCCCATGAACAATACCTTTCGCTCTCTCTGTCAGCGGTGTTATTTTTCAAACGAGGATCTCTGGACCGAGTCCACCCTCAGACAGCATAGGTCCGCATAAGCGTGCACAATATTAAGCAATTTATGGTTGTATTCCACCAGAGATTATGTGGGGACAAAAAGAAAATGCCAGGAAACTGCATACTTGTAATGAAAAGCTCAAAATGCAGTCTACATAGGCTCCTGTCACTTCTCTGTACAGTGTTCAACAAGATGCTTCAGATACAAGGTGTAAAAGATACTGCTCCTCCAGCATTAATAAAATAGTATTTGGGCTCTATCATGTTTTTTAAATTAATTTTTGTGCACAAGTCGGTAACAGCTACCCAGCAGGAAGATCCCCAAGTCTTCCATGATAAGCGTTTGAAAATGGCAAGTCAGAGAAAATAAAGCAATAGCATAGGAAGAACCTCCTTAACATCTCACATTCCATAGGTAAGCATTTTTTTATTCAAACCTGTTTCAAGCCAACATGCTTGGGGTTTTACTGGTAACTACACAGAGGGCTGTGTAGCTGTACACCATGGGGGCAATTTGGTGCCAGGTCAAGCATTTTTACATGTATCAACATGACCTGCCAAACTAAATTACAGGGCCATAGCTGGAGTGTTAGGTGTAGATAGTTTGAACTTTACCATGATTAGTTTATATCTGCAACTATGTAAGTAAGAACTTATATTTTGTTCAGAACAATACTAACTTGAAAATGTACGATGGTTGATAAAGAATTTTTCGAACAAAAATCCAACTGAAGAGATCTCACACACACAAATAGACTAATCCAAGTAGGTAGCAATTCATGTTTAGTGTAGTAAGGCTGAGATATGTGTAAAAAATTCAGAGATATTGTTGTAAGTTCTAAAAATACCTGTCATTCGATTGATTCTTTGACCAAATATATCGTGGAGAATTCTGAAATTAAAAAGCATTTCCAATTTTCTTGATTTAAAACTTGTCTGGGGGAGCACGCACTCAGACTACCCTAGAGGGTTGCACCTCTGGCGCTTTCTCCCTTGCCCCCAACCGCCCCTTTAAAATAAACCTAGCTATGGCCTTGAATTAATCTCTCATACAAAAATTAAATATGTTTTACCTAGTAAGGATTAAAATGTTTCAACCAGGCTGCTGAAAGTACAGTCAAACCTCACATAGATACATAAAAGACAAAACTGATGTCATCAGTGTCCAGGTTATACCAGTAAGCAGAGAACTGTGAATTTTTGTCTCTATTGTAAAAAGTCTCTCCAGACATTATTTTGTAATGTACCTGACTTGACTTATGAGATCCTATATAAGGGTTGGAGAATTGTCCAAACCAAAACAAGTCCTGGAAAAATTTAGCCAAGGCTCAAAATGTAAGAACTGAAGTGCACCACAGAATCTTGAAAACTTAGGTATGGTTGTCAGGCTAGTTGGCGAGCAGTTTTGAATGCACAGGAGTTTGAGTCAGTCATGTAGCTAAATGAAAACAAGAAGACAGGTTACAGGGCTGTCATTAAGGCCATAACCCATAACAACTGTTACAGCTAAGTATGCTTGACAGGCACTTGGTGCTATGGGTAAAATTGCCTTTTGTTGATACAATTCAATGACAAAGTAACAAGTTTGTTACGGGTGTAAAGTTCAAGGTGCAGGTGACTCAAAACCTAATGACAGCCCTGTCTTATATATCAAAGTTATTAGGCATATAAACAAGTGTTGACATACCAGTAATATGATGTAAACAATTAATTGTGCAATTCTTTGATCTTTGGTTACATCATGATATGTCACATTATGTCCCCATTCGTTCTTGCTGCTTAAGCTTACATCATTCAACCACAAGTTTTCCTACCTTTACATTGATTATGTCCTAGATACTTTTACCAACCAAACTTTTGACTGAATGCACAACACACTGCACAAAATCAAAACTGTTTGATTGTGTACATGTGTTTCAATCCATTAAGAGTGTCTAGAAAGAGTGTCTGTTGTAGCTAATGCTGGCTTTTCTTGTGATTTCTCCCAAAGGCCTCCATTTCTTTGTGCTAAGCAAAAGGACTGCTGCCTCTGGGAGTGGTCTGAGTGGTCTCTGATACATACTCTGTGCAAAAGGAAGTTTTGTTGTTTCTGCTGTGAAAAGGGCGTTTCTCACAAGTAGGAGAGGACAGCTTAAATGACAAACATCAGCCTGCATAATAGGCATTCATTTCTGTGTAGCAGTCTAACCGCTGGGATAAGATTTGATTGTATCAACTACAAAGGTTTGTTTTTCTTAAAAGAGACCTGAAGATGTGTGTTATATTGCTGAACAAAGTAGCCATTCAAGTTCAAAACTGCTTTTAAAGCTTCTTCATATCTCATCATATTGACAAATGCATATCCTGTACCCTTCTTGGCAGATATGGACAATATGGCTCCATGAGGTGCAAACAGTCTGTACAAAAGCAGTTCACTTTCTGTTTCCTCAGCTGAAGAAGGTAGACCATACACGAATACACAGTGATAGTTATGTTGATTTGGTAGAGGATTTAAGTGTAGAGAACCCAGGATATTTGGATCTCTTGGGTGGTGGAGAGCGTTGAAATTCGGTGTATTGCGTGCCAGTCCTGCCCCAAGAGGGGAAAACCGATTATTCGCAGTTTCGTGGTGTATGGGACCAACTCCGCCAAGATTTAATGCTGGCCTCAAAAGTTCATTCGCAGCTATCGAGGTTTGTAAGGACACAGGATTTAGCTGCTGTGAATGAGGTCCCTTAGGAGGATTTGCAAATTTCACCCCCAAGGTTGAGCCAGGTGATAAACTCACACCATTCAAAGCATCAATTGCGGCTTGTGCCTGAGAACGTTTATCAAAACGAATAAATCCTACACCACGACTTTCACCGCTTTCTAACATCAAAATCTTTGAAGAGATGATAGTTCCATATACTCCAAACCAAGTTTTAAGATCGTTTTCACTGACAGCCTTGGGTAATCCACTTATGTACAAATTGGCGTTTTTAATTTCTTCTGAAGACGGTCGTGCATAACTCACTCGTATCTTCTTATTGCTAACCTGCTTTCCGTCAAATGTTTCAATAGCTCTGGCAGCTTCGTCTTCGTGACTGTAGTTTACAAAAGCGTATCCCAGACTAGTACCCGACGTCTTGTCTCGCATAAGTTTACAATTCACAATCGAACCACAAGAACTAAACATGTCTTGAAGAAAGGTTTCGGTGATATCGTGTGGGATGTAGTTGACGATTACATTTTTCCTTTCTTTTACGCAACTATCGCCATTCTCTGGTGTGTCTACCATCTTTGATGACACGAACTGGCTACAGATAACTCTTAAAAGAACCAATAAACCGCGAAAAATCAACAACCTCGATCTTTCCTTGTACGATCATCACACTGACGCTAAGAGCACATGTTCGTCCCCAGTCCTAACTGGCCGTAAAATAGGCATGCAAGGTGTGTTAAAAAATGTTTTTTGCTCCCCAGTATAGAGCCTATGCACTCACGTGTCTAGCAGCCATGCAAATTTATTGGAGCAAAAGAAAATGTTTACATAAAGTTACATAAGAAAAGAGTTCAACTCCCACAGGATTGGTTCGGTACACCAACATGGCTGCCGTTTCATTGTTTTGGAACACCAATATGGCAGTCATGCTCCTGAAAAGCCCCATTGGGGAGGTTCAATAAAGTATTCATTCATTTATTCATTCATTCATGTGCATACACTCCACTGTGGAAACCTCGATCATAAAAGAAAAAATAAGGAAAATATATATCGAAATAATTGGGAACAAAAATAGTATAAGATGCAGGCCTTCTTTGATCAAGCAATCTTTCCTGAGTAACAGAGCCGAAAAGCAGGGTTTTGCAAAACTACTTTCAAACTAAGTTTTTACATGTGAAACAAGTAGTGTAAAGTAAGCACAAAAACAGTAAAAAGGTTGCTTGATTGTGATGGCTAATGTTTTCCAGTTGATCATTTCTGCAACTGGTCTCTCAAATGGAAAACCCCTAATTTATCTCTTCACTATTGCTAAAGGTCACATAATTTAAACAGATGGCATGCATGGCTGTCAACCACAACAGGACGTATTATTTGGATATTACAAAAACACATTCTATACAACTAATATATGCAGCAAGGGTTTGAATCTTGGACTTGGCATCATATGAGGGTGGAGGTTGTTGTTGGGTCTCATTATCAGTTAAGTATACAGGTGCATAATTTTTTATTGAAAGCGACAATGGGGGGGGGGGAAGGGGGGAAGGGGAGGAAGAGTGCACATAGGCAATCTGGAGGGGGGAAGAGTACAGGTAGGAAATCTTTGCTTAAACAGAGGAAATCTTAACTGCCAGTAACTAGTGACATATGTCAGTTAACAAAGGGTGGGGTGAGACAGGGTATTTGGCTGGTCCCTTTCCCTTGATACCCGCAACTGATTGATACATATGAAGTGCTTACATGCAGCTGCTTGAAATCAGAAAAGCTGAAAAAGAGCTTTCCCTTCAGATGCAGCATAATGGCTTCCTAATAAACTCCGTCTGTAATCCATTTTGTTTAGTAATCTTTAATTGAGACTATTCCACATAGATTAAAATTAAAATAAATGTTGGGTTGGACAGTCTTAACAAAATTAGTCTGAACAGTAGAGATGTGGTGCCTAGAACATGACTAAATACTATATCTAGGTAACTAGTAATTCCCTATAATTACGTCTGCTCTGATTGAATGGAAGTATTTGCAAAAGATGGTAGGGCAATTCAAAATACAACCAAACTTTGAATTAATTGTTCTTTGCTGCTTGTACTGCAGAGAACTGCAGCTAAACTGTTGGATATTGCCTCTGAGTTACAAAACATGATATAATTGTACTTGTTTTGAGCATTAATTTTACACTACAAACTGGAGTAAAATAATAATTTATATGACTTTGCTTGACTGAATTTTACTAAAGCTTTTCCATTTGAATGAACCCTAAAGTTCTTGTAAAACGCAGAGTTTGAGAGTCATTTGAAAGTCTTCTAGAAGGAATACATCAGTGAGGTGTGTGCAATATTTACTGGAGAAATCTTTACTACAATTGCTATGTTTTTGAAACTGTGGTTCATCTATATTTGTTCAGAGTGACACTTTGAAAACAGAAACACTTTAAAACAACACACATTAATGGGATGAATATCAACTGGCATGGTTTACAATATTATTCGCAACTGCAGTCTGTAAGGCAAAGAGCAAAAAAAGAAAGAAATCAGTGATTTATTTGAACTGTGTGAACTAGCTAGGGGTATTATTGCTACGCCGGTAGAACACCAGCATTTTGTCAGGTTAGTCCAACAGTTTGCCAGTAGCATACCATGAGAATCAAGTATTGGCTGTCAGGGAAATGATTGGAATTTGACTGAAATCCTGGATCACTGATTTGGAGTCCAAAGTATAGCCACGAGCTCATAAAGGTGAAATGACTTCACAATTTAACTTGAAACCCAGGACTTTTCTTCACACCCCAAAAGCAAACAGATTAAAAGTTGGCTGTGTGTGAGAGAAGTTAATGATAATAGAAAGTTCTAAGGCTTCATTTGTGGGGGAGGGGGATGACAGGGGGCAGAAACCCGGGAGAATAGGAGGAGGGAGGTGGGAGAGGAAAGGGCAGGAAACAGGAGAGCAGGGTATGGGAAGCGAGAGGTTGTGACCTTCCTGTAGCCCCCACTCATTTGTTTACAAAGACCACTAGCTGTAATTGTTCAACAACAAATTTAAGTTTCACTTCTTTACCTCAGTAACCAGAAGCTTACTGGTGATTCTTAAACAACCAAAGGTGCAAAGTATTTTAGCTTACCTGTCGTTCTTTAGTAATGTCTGTCCATTCTTTAGAAGCAATACGTGGAATTGCAGCTAGTAAAAGAGTCTTCACATTTGCCACATTGGATTTAAAAATTGCCATCACTGATTCAACACTGACCTACGCCATGATAATACAAAAGACTCCATTTATTACAGTTAATGATTTTCTTTAATTTCATTACAGTTTTAGTTTCCTCACAAAGAGATATCAGCAATCAGTTTCTCCACACAAGATCACCACCTTGTTAAAGGAGAAGTTCACTCCAAAAAGCTTACTTTTTTGTCTTTGCCTCTAACTCTAACCCAAAGTGACTGCTATCCTGATGAAATTCGTCTCAAAAGATGAGACTTTGGAGGCTACCATTTTGAACTGTACTTGGCAGCCATATTTATGTGACGTCATTCCGTCCGACTCTAAATTGGTGGCAAGGAGAAAAACCTGCAACTGACTTTGCATCTTTCCCAAGGTCAGCAAAATGTATTTTTTCCAAGCAATAATCACTTCACTATCTTCACTGCTATCATTTTCGGAGTTTGGAGCATGTTTGGCTCAAAATAATACGGCTCAAGAGCAGCCATAACTCAAAGTGGTAGTTAAAAGGCTTGTTGTAAGCAATTTGGACAAAATCTCTTGGATGGAATGATGTCACGAAAATGTAGACTGGCTGCTGAGTAGTGTTCAAAATGGCAGCAGCAATGTTGAATTTTGGGCTTCTTTGGAGACGAATTTCATAAGGAAAACCTGCACTTTAGAGCCTGAAACATCAGTGAGTGGCTAAACTAAGTGTGAGCTTTTTATTAGCAACGACAAAAAACATACATTTATTGGAGTGACCTTCTCCTTTAATAATCAGCCAAGTGGCAATCAGTAACAAAAATTTAGTTAATATACATATATTGTCAACCAAGGGTCATATGTAATTTGTTTATTTCTAGTTAAAAAATTGACTGGTCAGTGTCCAACATCCAATTTGATGTACCAAAAAATGAAACAACTTTAAAAGCAATCAACATGCAGCAATCTGTAAGTAGTATATAACTTCAAAACCTAAAAGAGTCAAACAGAGATCTATGCAAAACTTACTGGCTCATGGTCATCTCTCCAACAGTCATAGTCTGTAACCATAGCAATAGCAGCATAACAAAGTCCAGCTTCATTAGCCAGGACGACTTCTGGAACAGCTGTCATATTGATGATGTCTCCTCCCCACAATTTAAACATTTTGCTTTCAGCTTTTGAAGAGAAACGAGGCCCTTCAACAACAACGTTAGTTCCTGAACTGTGATGAGACAAATTAAGTTCTTTGGCAGCTTCGATAAGAATCTGAAAAAATTAAAATGACACACATTTTCTTGCTTTAGAGCTGCACCAGCTGTTTTGACAGTAGGCAACAAAAATGATTTGATTGTATTTTATTAATTAAAGAAATTAATTTTAAAAAATGCAGAACCTTTCTAGTATGAGGACAGTAGGGATCATGCATAGGGATATGACAAATTCCCACTGGACTTCCTTCTTTACCATCGTAAAATGTAGATACTCTTTTGGTTGTTCGATCAATAAACTGATCAGGAAATACAAGATCACCAGGTTTATACTCTTCTTTTAAAGATCCACAGGCAGTGGTAACAACAACATGAGTGCAGCCTTCCTCTTTTAGGGCATAAATGTTTGCACGGTAGTTGATGTCTGTTGGCATAATAGTGTGTTTTCTTCCATGTCTATGAAAACATAAAAATATGTAACATAATATCAGATAGTAGGGATCATACACAGTGTAGGTAAAGCCATAACCAACTCCGAGACCATTAAATTATCAGAAGATCTAAAACACAATAACATCTATGAGTCTTAAATAAACTGGACTATGCACATGATTTTTTACTCACAGAAAATTTTTGTACATAACCTACAGGGCCATTGTGTTGTGTTGTTGTTGTTTGTTTGTTTTTTTCTTTTTTTAGGGGGGGAGGTGGATTTGGGGTGAGACTTTACTCCTACTCTTGCAGTGCTTCTCTCCACCCAAGAGTACAAATGAGTATCAGAAAATCAAATATTGGGTATGGGAGGAGGGAAAAGGGGGGGGGGAGGGGTTAACTCTACGGCACACTTGAAGGGAAGAGCTAAAATACTTCTAGTTGCTCTGACTAACTAAATGCAAATTTGTACAGAAATGAAATGAGCTGTTATCCTCAAATAGTAATTTAACGATACATACTTCTCAACATTTGCTTACCTTGGCATCAACACACATTCCACTCCAGCTATTTTACCAAGAAACAAGGAATCTGATGGCTAAAATAAAAACTTATTAACGTCAACCATAAGTAGGACACATGCCAGAGTGCAAGGCAACTGATCTTTACTATCACTAACTTTTCCTTTTAATAATTTAAATTAAATAAGCATTGTACTGATTTAAAATTATATGACAATGATAAACATTGATACCCAAAGGTTTTACACGAGTCATCGCTGAAACAAAATACCTCTCCATAGGGTGTTGAAACACGTTTTTCTTTCCTTTCTTTGAAAATATCAGGATCATTCATTCCACTTCCACCAATAATTCCAATCTGTCAAGCCAATATCAAAGTAAATTGTCAATATGACCTTCTCATTTTCTATTATGCTGTTCCAGAAAATACCCATACCTCACACATGTGGGTCCTAAAACAGGGGGGGGGGGTACACAGTGCACAAACATTCTCTGACGTTTCTTGACCCCGGGGACCCAGGAAATAAGTGATATATCAACTGGTCAGGGTTAGAAAATATTTATCCCATTCCCATTTTGGATATTTCTTTCCCATTCCCATTGACCAAATCCCAGTCCCAGTCATCTTAAATCCCATTTTCCCAGGGCAGAGGCAGGCCAATTCCAATTCACATTTTACCCCTTCAGAACCCTCTCCCATGGAGGGATGTTTGGTTTGAACCCTCTATCCCACTTGAAAAGTCCAAGTTTTGACTCATACTTTCCTTTAAAAATTTTAGCTGACTCCCTATCCTTTAGAATTTCTAATAACCCCCTTGAGGTAAATGTGGGTTTCGTTTTAGATTTTCACATTATTTAATATTACTAGTAGTAATCAAAGATTAGAGCAGTGGCTTCACCGCACATACTTTGCATGTTTGGTCTGCTTTGGTGGCATTTGAATGGCTTGATAGAAGACTTAGTTTGATCAAATGTCAGATAACCATCTGCATGTGCAGTTGTTTCCATTATCAAGTGCTAACCATAAGTAGGCCAGTTATTCAGGCTAATCACAGTGAAAGTCTGCAGTCCACTTATATCTACATCTACATTTATAGTTAATTAGCAAGAGTGCTCCCTCCTTAGCCCAAGTGCTCCATTTAGCCTGAATATCACTCAAGACCCTGTTTATGGTTGGTTCTCAATGATGGAAATAGTATCACGGTTCAGTTAAAACGTCTATTGTCAGCATAAGTACCCCAGGACTCCAGTCTGCATTTTATCCTTAGTCTGCATATTTTTATCCCCGGTACGGTCCGCAGTCTGTAGTCTGCAGTCTGCAGTCCACAGTCTGCGTTTTACACTGACCAGTACCGGTACACAAGAACCGATACAAAAGACCCAACAAAGTACAACAGCTAAACAAAGGCTCGTAAAGAAAGGAAGTACAATGCATGGTTAATCGTTAGTCCCTCAAGTTGTTAAAAATTATATGCATGAGTAAGAGTTTGAATTGATCACGGTGCCATCTTTTTTCCAAAATGGCGAATGTTGTTATCTAAGAAAACAAACAAATCGAGAGAAAACTTTCTTCTTATAACTGTACCTTAACCTTTGCCATTATTTTGATCACTTGTTCTTGCTGTACACGTAACCACGAACACTACAAGGCGTTCCAAACGAGGTGCGCTGAGGGGCCTGGATCTATTATAGAAAGAAAACAATCAAGATGGCTGCAACACGGCAGTTCTGGTTACTTGTTGTAATTTTCACGATATTCACGAGTTGGATCTCTACGAAAGCCAGTTTAAATAAGAGAAAGAATGTCTTGGTCATTATTGGAGACGATGCAGGTTTTGAAACACAGGTGTACAACAACATGGTTTGCAAAACTCCCAACATAAACGCCCTAGCTAAACGTAGTGTTATTTTTAGGAACGCCTTCACTTCAGTCAGTAGTTGTTCTCCAAGCCGCTCAGCCATATTGACAGGTAAAAGTTTAAATCAGTTTTATATCGGTGATGTATAATAATCAAAGATCGATTGTTTTATTGAGTTCATACAAAGAGTCTCAACCTGTCTATTCAATGTTAAGAAATAATTACCTTTAATTTATTTTAATTATTCTTGTCTAAATATGATTAATTAGTTAAATTTAATTACATTAATAAAATTTATTAAAATAATTTATGTTTTGAATAAGCTCAATTAAGGATTTACTCTATGAAAGATATTTGAAAATACTCTAAAAATTATACTTGCCTTTAGGCGAGTGCAAATGTGAAACAATAAATTTTCAAACATCACAAATACACTCTGCTTTCATTATTACTCATTTATTGTATGACTGGGAAAATTACAAATGCACGGGTATTAATTTGCACCGTAATGCAAATTAAAAATTAGCAATAAATTGACCCGCACTCAGCCTCCCCCTAAAAGAGGTAATTTTCTTAAATCATATAATTTTTATATAATTTTTAAAAGACAAAACACTAACATGATTAGGAAATTTTTAAAGAGTGTTTTAAATTCATCTTTGAGACTGTCAGACAGAACAAAAGCAAAAATAAATGAAGTGTGTTCAGGGCTGTCAATAAGGGCCATAATCTGTAGCACCTGTTACAGCTAAGCATGCTTGATGGACTCTTGATGCTACGGGTGAACTTGCCTGTAGTTAATACAATTCACTTACGAAGTAACAAGTTTGTTGCGGGTGTCAAGATCAAGGCTACAGATGAATGAAAACTTAATGACAGCCCTGATGTTGAATTGCAGTAACAGTATGGACACTGAATGTTGTAGAGAAACCAATTGCCTGACATTTATCAGTGCTGTGCTCTAGAAGCACCTGGGTGCCACAGAAAACTAACTTTTGCCTTTAGGCAACCAGATAAACTTTCTTTTTTCATATAAACTTAAGTGCTGGGCACCCAGGATTTCGTGGTCAGGAACGTTTGGGCTCCTCGTAATTTTTCTCAGACCACAGACGGAATAAATAAATTGGCCATAAAAAACAGCCTTCATAGTCTTTCCTCTAATGTGATTACCAGATGCTTTTTGAGGAAAGTGAGCCTGTGTTGTCTAATAAGCAACTAAAATCAAGTCTATAATAGCTGTATCAAAACCTTATTTGATTTGATTTGAAAACACTGAATACCCATAGCGCAATAGCTGCACCAGTTCTGTAACTGGCATGTGGTTTGTACTGGTTTAGTACATTTCTAGATATCAAGGAAATCAAGTTTCAGAACAAAATTAATATATTATTCACTTGCAATGTTATATGTTATATATACAAGTGTAAATTAAGTTTAATGTGTCGACTGTTTATTTCATAGTCTTCTGGCACCAAAGTATTTTTATTTTTCTATTTTTGTAAGGCCTTCCTCAGCATCAGAATGGTATGTATGGCCTTCACCAGGCAGTGCATCACTTTAATTCATTTGATGCAGTCAAAAGCCTACCTTTGCTCTTACAGAAGTCAAATGTGCGAACTGGAATCATTGGAAAAAAACATGTTGGGCCTGAAATGGTAAATATTTATCAAACGAACTGGTCTACATGTAGGATTGGTATAATTTAGCCCAGGGGGGTGGGGGGGGGGGGTACTTTAGGAATTTCTGAGTGGGGATGTGCTGTTGGGACCCTGGAACCCTTAGCCTATACTAGAGCTAGTTCAGCTGAATTTTGCTACCCTATACTAGAGTAACCAGTATTAAAACCACCAATTTCCATCTGAATCCCGATTTTTGACAGTTAATAATATCCAGTAGTGTTTTATGATAGTCTTCTATTGACAATGTTGAGGCTGAGTTACAAAAATTTAAACTTGCCGATTTCATTTTTTTATATTTGTGAGTGGCAGTTCCTGGTTTCCTTAGTTTAGATAAAATCTTCAACCAAGTGGTCAGTTTCGTGCAAAAATGATACCCTATTTTAGACCCAAAGGTCCTGATTTATATACCCTATCCTAGAGTAAACTGCTTGAAAACCATACCCTTCACAGCGGCACATACCTNTATATACCCTATCCTAGAGTAAACTGCTTGAAAACCATACCCTTTACGGCGGCACATACCTATATAGCCCATATATGGCAGTACCCCCCCCCCCGGAAATTTAGCAAAACTGCCCCATTGAAATTTGGAATCTTGATAACTGCTTAAGTTGCATGTTCTTATAAACTCTGATGCTCTTTCGTGTGGTGTATCTTGATAGCTTTCTTTGTCATTTTTCAAGTGAGGTAATCACTTAAAGCTGATGGTGATGGTTTGATTGTTCTAAATTACAAAAAAGTCTCGCTTATTCAAAGACACTAGCAATATGCATTATTTTTCTATTGTTGAGAGCTGGAATGTTAGGCACCTTATTTAGTTTAAATTTATTCCTGGTTTGAAAAATAACATTCAAATAATTTGCAAATCAGAAAAATTTGGAAAGAAGATACTTCTGGCCAAGGTGCAAACAGTTATACTTGTCTTGCTTATTCCTCCTAAGGACCACATAATCCTATTTCTATAAAACCTCTTTCTCTAAATTGCTGTAAATTTCATGCTATGTTCTTTTTTACAGGTTTATCCATTTGAATTTTCTTACACAGAAGAGCATCATTCCATTCTTCAAGTGGGACGTAACATAACTCACATGAAAGAATTGACTCGCAAATTTTTTCAAGGATCACAGGATGACTCACAACCTTTCTTTTTGTACATTGGCTTCCATGACCCTCATCGGTGTGGGCACACCCATCCTGAATATGGTAAGCCAAAAGTTATTAGCAGCCTAATTTACTCTCAAACAAATTCTTACAATAATATGTAATTGGCTTCACAGTAAAAACAAGCTGACCTTCATCTGGTTGGTAACTTATTAAGTACATACTAAGTATATTAAGAAATTCACATTCATTTGTGTGAACATTATGTACAAACATAATCTTGTGATTTAGCTTTCTGCATTAAATTAATTTTACAAATTATGCTAATTTTTTATTCTTGTTTTTTAATTGTACAGGAAATTTTTGTGAGAAATTTGGAAATGGTGACCCAGGTATGGGCCTGATACCTGACTGGAAACCTGTACACTACTCCCCTGATGAGGTGATCGTTCCATACTTTGTACAGGACACTCCTGTCGCACGGCAGGACATTGCTGCTCAGTACACAACAATCAGCCGCCTTGATCAAGGGATAGGGCTGATCTTGGAGGAGCTTCGCCAGGCAGGTTTTGAGGAGAACACTTTGGTTATCTATAGCTCTGATAATGGTATCCCCTTCCCCACGGGTCGAACAAACCTCTTTGATCCTGGTATGGCAGAACCCTATCTTGTGTCATCCCCTTATGCCCGTGAACGTTGGGGTCAGTTCAGTGATGCTGTGGTGAGCCTATTGGATATAGTGCCTACTGTGTTGGATTGGTTTGGAATTGATTACCCCACTTACAAGTTGTTTGGACCCAACAACGTGCAACTGACGGGAAAGTCTGTATTATCAGTGTTACATCAGGAACCGCAGTCAGGATGGGATACTGCTTTTGCCAGTCACAACTTACATGAAGTGACAATGTATTATCCAATGAGGGTTATTCGAAACACCTCTTTCAAACTGATATACAACCTCAACTACAAGATGCCATTCCCCATAGATCAAGACTTCTTTTTATCACCCACCTATCAAGACCTATTGAACCGAACCCAAGAAGGGAGACCCACCGGGTGGTTTCGCACACTGGATCAGTATTATTATCGAGCTGAGTGGGAACTTTATGACTTGAAGACTGATCCCGAGGAGCTGACAAACCTGTTTGGTAAACCTGCTTATAAGGATGTGTTTAATGAATTGCATGGCAAGCTAAGGGCTTGGCAAAATATTACAAATGACCCATGGATTTGCTCGCCTGGTAGTGTACTTGAACAAAAAGGAAGGTTTCCACCTACAGGTGTGTGTTTGTCAATGCACAATGATGTTTAATAGTGAAAGTTGGTAAATTCTTGGCTAAAAGTTGGTTAATGCTAGTTTATTTTTGTAACACCAGTAGTGTAGTGTATAAAGAGATCTTCAGTTGAGTTGTTTTTATCATAGCTTGAAAAGTGAAGTTTAAAATAACTTGGAAAGTAGTAGTCAATATATTATTTTTTTATGGACAAAGAAAGTACAAGGTATCAACAAAATTCCTCATAACAAATTCCAGAGATTATAGTAACTTTTGCATGACTTTGGAGCTCTGTTGTACTGTTATCAAGAGGACCTTTATAACTCTAAAAGCAAAGTGCAGTGTGGAATAATTATTTTTCTCATTCATCAGCCTGATCTCCTGAGTATTTTATTGTAAACATTAACTTGCCAAAGAGAGATCACCCTTAAATTTTCTCTTCATTAAACATCAGATCATTACCAAAGCAGACTTAACAGCACTACCTTGATGTGCTACCAAATTCTCAAAATCTTAAGAAAAGGCTGAGTCAGCAGAGGGCTCTCCAAGGATGGCTTGTGTTATTGTCTCACAAGTCGTGACTTCCAGTGAGTCAAATTGTCTGTACATATTGATCATTTAACTAACTGTGGGTAAAATGAGGGGTGTTGATACTGTACATGTCTGAGAGTATTTGTTCAAGCAGCTACTGTTCAGCTTTCTTGGGTTCTAGTTTTTCTTCAAAGGATTTTTTCCTTGAAAATTGACATTTTTACTCAGATGGAAATGTTGCATCCAAAACAATACTGTGGGGCCATAACTGAGTTCCAAAATGTGTTAAGCTGTTAGGTTTATATATTATTTTGATGTTGTCAGGGTGAGGAATTTTGGATTTTGAATTTTATAAGTTTACAGGTTTTTTACTAAGTACTCTATCTGTGAGTTGTATTTTATGGTTAGCTTATGGTAAAGTCATCACATTTTTTAATTACACATGGTGATGTTTGTTGTTGTGCTCCTTTCTTCATTAACCTCTGAAAATGAAAGAAAATGAAATTACAATGTTACTCAATCAATGAGCAATTAATTCATTTATAAAATCAAGTGAACAACATGTGTGCATGTTGGCTTAGTTTGATGTAAACTCAAATATGAAACATGATCAACTCAAGGTTTGCACAGCTTAAATCAAACTTGAGTTCTCATATTCTGGGAGTGTCCCATTCCTTTTGAATCAATTTTTGATAAAAACGGTAACCATGACAACGTTTGTACTATTTAGTCTCAAGCATATGAACTAGGCAACTTAGAATGTGAAAGAATATAATATTTATTTATATTCCGTATCAAACTTGGTTTTTTCATTCCCTAAACTCAGCAATTCTTAATTGTGCCATTAATTCTACTGGGACTTCAGTCTTTCCTGCCTCCTACATTCGTCACTACAAACCTGGACGGACCTAGTTTAGAGAAACTGAAAAATACCTACATCACCCTGACCTCAATGTTGTTTTGGATAAGACAAGATTGTTTGCATTGGTTTTCAGATAAAAACAACTTTCGATGGGGTCAAGGTGGGGAGGGGGTGCACTAAAATGTGGTTTGATTTAGTTGTTGTATCCTGTGCAATTGAAACATTACTGAAACCCCCTCAACAGACTGTTTCGTCCAGGGTTATAGAAGCAGACTCACAATTTTGTTTATCACTAGAGAGACAAATGAATGTTTATTTTCCTTGCGTTATGAACAGTCACATTGGTCTATTCAGTTTCCTTGGTCATCACAATCTCTTGGCAAGAGAATAATGCATGAAAAAGCTTGCATTTGATTTAAAATTTTCGGTATTGATAACCTTAGAAAATAAAGGCCAGAAAACTTGATTCTTCAAGAAAAAATAAAAAGCCATGTTCAACAAGCAACAAGGAGAATGTTGATGTTAATCCATCTTGGAATTAATTTCATCAGTCTGAGCAGTTCATTTAGCAGAAGGTTTTCTCCACTCCTACCAAACCTTTAAGTTACTTTAATCTATTTTACATGGGAAAAGGAAGATTAATATAACAGCATGAGAAAGTTGAAAACTTCAAGGCATTTGGTTTTTTTCCTGCATTAATTACAATACACCTGAAGGTCAGATCCTAATTAATGACACAGAGGAATATTTCTGGACATGCACTCAACAGACTGATTGATAGTTTGATTTCAAGTCAATTGATGGGAAATTTCATGGCTCTAGGAATGATCAAACAATACCATTAACTTGCTGTAAGGATAAAATATAAATATAGAATGCATTTATTGGTGTTCTCTATGTCAAGAGTTAATAGTTCCTGAGCAAACAACACCCTCCTACATGCTTTTAGCCAAATGGTGTTTACATTTTCAGTTGCCATCTTGGCAGCATCAGAGTTAAGGCTAAGGAATCAGGTCTGTTTTCTGCAGGTGAGTCTTTTCCTGTATTTGCTGTGGGGTGTTAAATACCCCCTTGAAGGATTGAGCATTGATACCCCAAGCAAGTTTAGATATAACCCCAGGTGATTGACTAAAAGCAGTGCTAAAACTTCCAAAGCCATGGATGTGGTTAATTATTTAATTACGTTCTGACACAAGCTAAGTGGATTTCTAGTAAAGGCTCTTAGAAAAATTTTCTTTGTTTACAAATATCCCAGGGAGGAAATTGTACACCAGAGGTATTATTTTTACAACTACTTCCTCTGAGGACAAAATGGAATGATCCTTAGATTGAAAAACCTTTCATTATCAGGTTTTTGATATTATGCCAGAAGATGGTACCAGTGATCTTAAACATGCTTGTTCGCTAACTGCAAGAGGCTTGTAATATTGTCGTTGTTCAGATTACCCAATTTTATCCTCAAAAGCAATCTCTTAATCTGCCATGTACCCTTTTATAAAATTTGTATAAAATCTTGCTTCCCCAGCTTATTTCCTTCCTCTTTTCATTCAAGGTTTGCAATTTTTAACAGGAGAGTTTGATTGCCCTAAAGTGATGATACCATTCTAAACACAACAAAATGTACTAGGTTCCTTTCACATCTAACTCAATATTTGACAGCTTTATTTGCAGCTGTTGTTGCCTTTAATGTCAACACTGATCCAAATAAAATGACAATTCACAGGAAAACACCATTCTGCTTCAATACTTGTCTGCCTTTCTTTGACAGCTAGAAAAAAAATGGCCTGAATCAACATGGAAATTGTGTAGAAACCAAAAGAACATTAGAGGCAGTTCTAATCTTTGGCTATCAGTTCGGTAAAGTGCATATTTCCACAATGGAAATCAATGTATATATTACGTAGGGCACACAAAGAAAATGTCAATAACCTTACAATGCAAGTGTGTCCTTATCTTAACCTGTGAGGCTTATAAAATATCTTTCACATAAAACAGCATAGCAAAGCAAAGCATTTGAAGTCAACATAAGAACTAAAAATCAAAGAGTGGAACATTTAAAATTATTTTAATGTGCATTGTTTTTAAGTTTGTTTTCTTTCTCTGCAGATTTCCATTTATTTCTAATGTTTCATGCATTTTTCCTTTAGGAAATTGGTAATAATGTGCTGAGTTATTCAGCTGCATCTAGTTCTATCATCATTTTTTGTTTCACATTATCAAACTTCCTTTCAGAACCCTAAAGATGATGTTTACAAGTTACCACAAAGTGAAGATATTTCCGTACATCTCGCAAATTACAGAAACATATTTGCCACAACAAAACCAAGGGGTTCGGAGATTAAAGTTATTGAAAGCTATCTTCAAATCTTTCTTTAATTTTTTATTTTTGTGATTTGAAGCTTTGAAGGAAGGGAAATTTCACTTGATGAATATATTTAATTTAAAAGCTCAGCACAGGTAAATACAAAATTCATAGTGCAGGGATCGTCACATGTAACACTCAAAAGCAGAATATATTTTAGATGTCTTAACGATTAATTTACTCCGGTCTTTCTAATGCACTAATACCATGGATAAATTCAAAAGACACATGAAAAGCTTCACACATTTGGTGCCATCATTATTATTCTGCAAGCAATTACATTTTTAGATGGAAATTTTCATAACAATTTCACAGAAGGTCAATTAGCTGGGTGAAAAAAAGAATAACACATCAACAGCTGATTTCTTCTGAGTTTTTTTTCAGTGCTAAAAAATTTTCTTTGCAAAGTACAAGTCCAGAAAATCTTTTCATTTTTTTCAACAACTTGAAAATGTTAGGCAATACTTTTAAGGCCCTAAATTCTCTAGTTTCATTTTATTTGCTTTAAAAAATATCTCCGAGTGTGTGATTACAATGAGAAAGAAATTTACATTCTCTTCTAGAGCAGATGTTTACTTTTTGGCAATCATGGTAAACTGCCTCGAAAGAAAGTGCAGAATTACTTTAGTTTATTTAAAGTTTCAGTTTGTTCNGGGGAGGAATGGGGCTCGAATAAAGCTCACCTTCCAGTTATGAGCAGTGCTTAGCTGTTCTAATAAAGCATCCACAACCAATTTCTCCTTGCAGTTCATTTGCTTTATCAAAACGTACAGAGCCTTTGAAAAAAAAAAAAAAAAAAAAAAAAACAGTCAGAAAAATTTAATTCAAGAATATTACATTTCCATACCAAAAAATTTATCTGTAAATGAATGTTTTGGTGTAATTTGGTAGTAGGTTATGAATATCACACAGTGAGAGTTTAGTTCAATGCCTGAAACAAAAGTGAGTAGACTCAAAGAAGGAGGAATTCTTAACAAAAATACATTACATGACTGCTGAATCTACTTTTGATTCAAATACAATTATTGTAACAATTTTCTTTTGGTGGAATATGGAATGGAAGTATTTCATAGGTGAAAATTGTCTAACTTTAATTTGTACTTCGCTAATCCTCAAATGCTTTGCTTATAGCTAAATTTGCAAGCAAAAGAGAGACAGAGTTTTCATAAAATGTGTATATGAATATTCAAATAACTTCTCTTATCTCAAGATAATAGACTGCTGTCTGCATTACCCAAATATGTGCATTTGAACATGGTGAACAAATTTATTTCATTGCCTTCAAATTTCCTTAACTGACAAACTTTTCCTTTGATCTGAGTCAATTAAAATTCAAATCCCTTATACTTTTTTCACAGACCAAACATCCTCAATGGACAGAAAATAAAGCTTTTCATGAAATACTTGAGGAAAACAGGATTTGAATATAGATGAAAATTATCATTACTTCCCTCAATTATATTTTTAGCCCATAACCTGCTGAGAATCATGAAAATAAATCCAGGATATCATATTACATCAAACTTGCATTCACAATTTTCAGAAAATACATATTGCTTTGCTAAAATGTGGTACACATATTGACTTGGCAAATCAGGGGATGCGAACCCACTAATTAAGAAAACACCAGCTGTGTCGTCAGTGTCCATTTCCTTCTCCTGAAACCATTTATTGATTGAGCAATGTCTAGACCAAACACTCCTGACACAACCTACCAAGGAGCTATGTACTAAAAATGTGGCATTCCTTTATTATTGCAGATTCAACAAAATAACATAAAATGTTGCGGCATGATGAATTGATCTTACATGATCAAAAGAACACATCATATCTTAACAGATGTGCCTTTGAATTTTTTCCTAGGATAGAATTTTACAGGAATTTTCAAACAAATAAATTTTAATTTTGTGGCTGCTAATGGCCAATATGCGGCTTGAGGCATTCAGCTACAAAGTGACAGTCAGGAAATTTTGTGAAATAGATTGAAGCTTAAAAATTCAATGTCGGGATTTCCTATAAATTCTGCATGTAATTAACCACAATTCTCAAATTCTGAGATCTGTTATGCCGCTAACAAACATGAAAAAAGGTACAAATCATGTGTATTGCAAGGCTATGAATGAAAAACTAGAAATGTTTAAACTGCTGGTGAAAAATCACCAGTTGATTGCATTGAAAATCCACAGTCATCTTGTAACCATCAAGTTTTTCCCACACCTTTTAGCTCAAAGCTCACTTTGTTTCACAGACAGACATAAACCTATTAGAAATTGATTTAGCCAATAGCCTGAACCAAATATTGAAGCCTTAATTTAGTTTAAAATCCCTGGCAAATTTACTGGAAGTGGTTCGTTTGGTTTTTCAGCTCAATGACAGACCATGACTGAGTGTTACAAACATTCCTTATTCTGATCTCATTACAAAATTCTTCTCACTGCATTGTTTTTTTCATTGAATCTCAAGAAATCAAAAAGCATAGCTTCTGCAACTGTTACTAATTTTAAAGCAATCTTTACCCAATTTTCTGCTGTTTTTCATCAACTCAGGTGGTCATATGCAAAGCAGGCAGGACTATGTGTGGTTATTTTAAAGAAAACAAGTTAAATGGAACACTTTTCTTATAAAAAAAAAAAAACTCCCTAGGTATCCATTAACAGATAATTCCTACAAGTGCAACACAAAAATCTGTGCAAATGGTTAAATGTTTCCTAATGATTCTCAACTTACAACATATCTTTAAATGTTACCGAGTAGAAAATGGATGGAAACCTTAGCCTAAATATTTATTCTCTATCCTCAAAATCAATTTTGTAAGCAGGTAGTTCACACACAATGCCAGATTAATTTTAATGAAATGAGTTTTTCCCCAACCAATCACATCACATCATTTTTCTACACCCAGCCCACTGCCACCCTGTCAAACCTGATTCATGATTAATTTCACTTTTTCTTTTCTGGAGTTCATAACACCTGGACACATTTTGGTGAAATGAACCACTTTGTCAAAGCAGCTGTTTTAGAGAAGAAAGATTTCCCAAGTAAAGATCTGACCAAGAAGGAAGATTTGAAAACTTGACCTACAAAGAAATGTTCACTGTTCCATGAAATATTAAATCAGAAGAAGGAAAGAAAATAAACTAATCATTTATGGCATTCTTAATCTTTGATGATCTATGTGATAAAACTTGTGGCAGTGTGTTCATCAATTTTTAAAGAGATGGTTACCTGGTTCATTTTCCTGCTCTTGGGTCCTTTCCAACCAGGCTTTCGACGTTTTCATCCTTTGACCAATGTTTGCTACCCCACTCGAATCAAAAACCTAACTCCCTTCACATCTATGCACAAAATCTACTGCCTTAATTAGAAAACTGAGAAAATAAACACAAAACTGAAAGTAAATTGAACTCCAATGGTTTGCTACAGTCACACTTGTATAAACTAGGAAATTTGCTCGAGTGCATTTACTTTAGCAAATGCTAAACATTTATTACTTGGGCATGATAAACAGAAGAGAAAAGGAAAAAATGCAAGAGAAATAACTAAAATAAATACGCGTGTCCCCAAGGAAACTAACAATTAATATTTTCGACACAAAAGTGAAAGCAATAAGTTTTTATCTAACGAATGATTCTCGAATGTTATCTTCTGCGTTCTTCCCAATCACCAAAATTTAGAACAAATGAAATTAGTAATTTTATCTGTTTTTTTCAGCTATCTTATATAATAGCGCGCAGAGGGCAAAAAGAGATCAAACAGAGATGAAATATTGAAGAGACAACACAACTCAAAACAAAATAAAAATCAGCAACACAAAATACACTGAAGAAAAATTTAATGAAAACAAAATAGAGAAGATCGTGAAAATGCTCGATCCAAAACGGAAAGAGCGATCGCACTAGAAATAAAAAATACAGCAAAGTAAATAATAAAGATTCAACCAAAGAAATCGAGAACCATGGCTATTATGCCGAACTGTCAAAACACCTAGAACTCGGTCTCACAAAAAGTAAGAAGGTTCTAACGAGAAATAGCTCGAATTACCAAACAGTGTACTTAAAGTAAGATCTGGCCTAAAATATATAACGAAGCATTCGGTCAAAATGCGGCCGATCTCTAAGAATTCCAGTATACCTCATACAGACATACTCTATTTACCTTTCTAATTAACACACAAAGTCAAAGTAAAATCTAAATTTTTCAACTAGTTTCAACGGCAGAAAGCTCTTCGCCAAACGGCAATCAAAGCTTTTCTCAAACTAAACTAAGTTCAAAAGATCAAACGAAAACCTCCAAAAATTTACGCAAAAAGGGCAAAAAATCAAAGCTTTGGGAGCGAGCTTGATGTGGGGCGGAAGGAAGGGCGAGACGGCGGCGACTCGCCATCTTTCTTGGCACTCTGGCTGTGAATGTTCGGCGACTGATTCAAGTTAGTCAAAGCGCTCCCATATTTATTGCTTCTTGACGTTGGGTGTCTTAAATGATACTTGAAGAGGCGGTTTGTCCTCGTGCCCAGCCAGTCGATGTCCGTTGAGACCGGCGATCGCTTGTTGAGCATCATCATAGTTTTGCATGTTAACGAAGCCAAAATTTTGGCCTTTCTTCACGCGCACATCTGAAATTGCACCGTATTTGGCGAATAGTTTGTACAACAGCTTCTCTGGGTCTACTTTAACAGTTCCAGCGTCGTCTTTATCCGACGGTAAGCCATACACGAATACACAATAACTAGGAACCAGAGCGTTTGGCGTAAAGGTGTTGTTGTTCGGGCTTTGAAGAAACGTGAGCGGCGAGTAGCGAAAATTCGCGCCTTGGTGATACAGAGGCCCTACCCCGCTGGCGCTGAATGGCGATCTTGCATTTGCACGAATTTGTGGCGGAGTTAGACCGAGCGGTGACTGAAAGGCAAACGGAATCTGAGGCTTGTTGCTGGGAGGATTGGCAAACTTCACGGTCAGTTTAGAAGATTCCGTGGGACTTACACCCGGCAACTGCGCGCCATTCAACGCGTCGATCGCAGCTTGCGCTTGAGAGCGCTTGTCAAAACGGACGAATCCAGCACCACGACTGACAGAGTTTTCGTCTTTAAGAACTTTTGATGTTATAATCTCGCCGTATTTTTGAAAGAGCATCTCGAGTTCTTCCTCGTTCATTGTCTTTGGTAGTCCACTAATGTACAGATTGGCGTTTTTTATGTCATCGGACGAGGGGCGAGCGTAACTCACCTTGATATTCTTGGACTGAACTCGCAGTCGATTCAACTCCCTGACCGCTTTTGCCGCATGATCGGGTTCCAAATAATTCACGAACGCGTATCCAAGGCTGTTCCCGGATACTCTGTCCCGTACGAGTTTACAACTCGACACGGTTCCGAATTCACTGAATAAGTTTTTGAGTTCCCCTTCGCTCATCGAAGGCGGTAGGTAGTTGATGATCAAGTTTGTCTTTGAATGGTTATGGTCTGTGCCGTTTTCCAGTGATTCGCCGTTCATTTGCACGGGAACTGTACTATCATTCATCTTGTCCAACATCAAGAAAAGAATTAAAGCAAGAGGGGAACTCTTGGAAAGATAACGAATAAATTACAGGGTCACCAAATGAACTCAATCGTCTCGTGGACTCAACCGAACGTCAAAAATTCGAATGAGAAATGAACTGTCAGAGATGGCGGCAAAACTTATTTATGTTCCACGTGGTCAGAGTGCGTACAATTTCTCATTAAATGATTCACCCTCTAGGCGCAATAACAACTAACGCAGTGGGGATGGTTGAGTAATTATTTTTTATCGCTCGTTATTTATGTGTATTTCTCTGAGGTTTTCTAGGGTGATAAGGATTTTCAAGACATATTTTGGTCCGACATAATTCAATAGAATTTCCGCCGGTTTATCTTTTCAGCGAGAAAGCAACGTTTGAACGTGTTTACAAAACGTAATGGGGTAGGGTGGGGTGATCAGATTGTCGGCGGCATATTACAAAGGACCGGAAAATCGGAAATTGCAGCTGAATTCGCACGCTTGAAATCCATGAAGCGGATGAATATGTCTGATCTTTGGCTAAAGGGATTATTCCAACACTTCTTAGCAAGGCGAATTTGAATTTTAGGCGACGAAAGTGAGAATTTACCCCTTTAAAACTTTGACAGATGCGCAGGGACTGAACAACGGCCAACGTTATTAGTTGTACTTTGTTTAGCGCGTGTGAAGTGCTTGATGATCAGCGATTTCGTAAATTAATGTACATATTCATTTCATTGTCGAGTTTGTCGTCATTCCAGTGAAAGCGTCGCTTAGCTGTTTTGTTTTGGCTTTTCATTCCTTAATTTCTTTGCGCCTTGGGCGAAAGCAAAACCTGCAGCGGCTGACAATATTTTTCAAGTTGAAAATAATTCCACTTTGTTCATTTCCGTTGTTTGCACATTCGTTTATGCGCAGAGCGATCACTACCGCTGTTGGTAGACGAATCAAAATGACATCAAACACAGGAAGCTGTCACAGGGCTCGCTATGGTGTTTTAGTTTGCGATAACGCCGAGAAATGGGGAGGTATAGCGGGGCTTGGAAAACGATTTATTGATGCTTTCGGAAGCAATTCTGACTTGGAAGAGTGGCACGTGTTCGCTGCCTGTGAGGGTGAACTGCCCGCAGAAAAGGACTTGTGTACCTATAATGGCTTCTTCATATCGGGAAGCCCACGTTCCGCAAATGATAACATCAAGTGGATCAACGATTTGAAGACATTTATTTCCTCTTCGGCGCTAAATTCCTCGAAGGCTCGTGTGGTGGGTGTTTGCTTTGGCCATCAGCTAATTGGCGCTGCTTTAGGTGGGAAAGTAACGGCGAATCCATCACAGAAATTTGTCCTGCAGAGGGAAGAAGTCAAAACAGACAAGAATTTTCAAGGAAATGAAGCCATAAAAAAGATCATTGGAAGTGACGAACCTCTGCGTTTGCTCGAATGTCATGGAGAATGTGTTGCAGCCCTCCCCGCTGGAGCTCAAAGTTTAGCTAAGTCAGCAACCTGCCAACATGAACTGATTCAATTTACAGAGAATATATTCGGAATACAAGCCCATCCAGAATTTACTGTACAAGATTACAAAGAGTTGTTAATCCCCGAATTGTTCAATGCCGGTAAAATCGATGAAAACGGTAAGAGACTTTGCGAAGAGTCCATTGAGCAACCCTTAGATTCATCAAAGATGGCTGCTGCTTTGAAGAAATTTGTCTCCAAAGAAGATAATTAACTGTCTACAGGAACATCCATCAATGAAAAACCTTGAACTGTATTTGCATATTTCTCGTTTTGTGCAATTTAGATGCTATAAAGATAAGCTTATACCATGTAAGGAAACTCCCACAGAGATTTTATGACAAGAGGTGTCGGCTAGAAATCCTACTTATGAGTAGTGGGTGGGATGTGAAATTCAAGAGAACGTCTACTTGACCAAGTTAATTTTACCACGCTTCCTGTGACACATTAATATGGAGTAAATAAGAGTGCTGAAAACTAATTGAAATGACACAGGCAACACTTTTATATATTTTGACATATAAATTACATTGAAGTGCTCTTAAGTTCAGAAAACAATGCTTATTTCATACTGCTGTATGCTACGTCAACCAGTAGCCCCTGGAAAAAAAGAGGCAAATAAAATGGGTCCAAATCTACCAGTTACAACCCACAAACAAGACCTTTTCAACCAGCTGAAGTAAGCATTTTTGTCATTTCCTGAGATGTATGTTAAAATATTATTTTTAGCATCATAAAATGCCAGCCTTTCATTGAGTTCTTAACTTCAGGTTGTGTATGTTGATGGTTGTTTGTTCTCACAAATTTCAATGCACAAAGGACTGTGTAGCTCCTCTTCTTGTCCTAAAACTCTTTCTTGTCTTTCTGATTTTTAAGTGGAAAACAGATTGCAAGCAGCCATGGTGAAAGTCACTGAGAGTGATTATCTTCTTAAGCAGGACGTGCCAGCTATTTTGATTGTAAGGAGCTTTCATATCATGGTGATAGGCTAAAGGGACAAAGAAGTCCAGATTTAAGCCATCCACAGGGGATAATTAACATCAATCCTTTACCTTTATTTTCTGAGAATACCAAAATTTTGTATAACAGTTTTGTATAAGATATAATCTAATATCTTATAATTTGTAGTTGCAGTAATTTATAGAAATGGCTTTAAAAATAAAATGGCTGCATGAGTAATAGAACTCTGGTCCAGTGTTTATCCATCACATCTTAGATTAGAGACAGACAAGACAATAATATCCAAACAGAAAGAGCTGAACAGCATTAAACATGTTCTCTAGTCACCTAGTATGTTTCTCTACATATTCAAAGAAGCGTACATAAATGTTTTGTATAATTCATGACATTAAGCTAGCTAGGCTGAGGTCTAAGAAAAATTACAAGGAGCATAGAGGTTCCTAACCATGAAATCATGGGTGCCCAGCACTTAAGCTTATGTGGAAAAAGTAAGTTTTTCCAGTTGCCCAAAGGCGAAATTTAGTCATCTGTGGCACCTGGGTGCTTCGAGAGCACAGCCCTGGCTAGTCTTGGTGTTAGAAACAGGATAACAGTTATGGATAGCAAACTACCAGGGAGAGTATAGTGTTGGAACCTCTACAAGGTAACCAATCTGACAAGTACGACTTAGTGCTTAAGAATGATTTTTCTAAGGTTTCTGGTATATTCTTTATGTGTTCCTAGAATTTAATTCAAATGAGGATATGCGTAGTACTGTACTTGATGTATGGTTGTATTTATGTGATGAAATGTGTGTCACCAACAAAATTTGGCATGTTATTTACTTTGCTAGTAAAATCCTGAATGTAATAATATTCTTTCTCTGCTAAAGTTAATTTGCGTGCTGTGATTTCTCTGCCAGTTAGCACTTGCACTTGTCAAACAAATTGGCCAACATTTTGGATAGTCTCCTTCACAGCTCTTGTTTGTGTTGTCACACAAAGCTTTTGTTATTTGGGTTGTCACACAACACTTCTGCCTGGTTGTGTGATGACCCCAATAACATTACTGAATAGGAGACTGCATTTTGAACAGATGGTGACATGGGGCTAAAGATGCATCAATTAATTGTTAATGTATACAAACAAATTGTTTGAGGGATAGGAATGAATACTTTCTGAAAAGGACTCTTATGAGGAGAGAATTGACGGTTTATAATTTGCTAGTGGGACCTGTATCCAGTGACAAATGTCCAATACATGTATATGATGGCCTTAAAATGCATGAAGTAAAATAAATAATAAAAAAAAAACAGCCATGATTGTTGCTAGGCCTATTTTTCAGTCTATGCGACATGGCTTGAGATTCAGACCTCCTACCATATCAGTCCATATATACCTTCCTTCTTCCACTGGTAGTGCCTAGTTCCAGTTTTATCGGTGGCACGTGAAAACCACGAGATCACGAGATGCATACACCACGGGATACACCACGTCCACCAGTCCGGAAGTCAGTAAGTTATGCCGGCATAATGACGCAATAGTCGTCCGGAGGGGTAAGGAAGCTACCCCGAGATAGCTGAGGGTATTTAGTACAACAAATTTTTGTAGCGCTGATTTGAAAACTTTGGCAAGGAACCATCATAACATAAATGAGTACATTCCAAAAAGAAATCATGAAAAATAAAAAAACAATGAGTTAGTATGCCTCGTCGTCATGAACTATCGGAAAGATATTTCTATCTCCCCATACTACCTCCCTTACCACCCCCGCCAACTTTACAAACCTCCCGCTTAGTCGCCCGCTCATACTTTACAGGTCTTTATACGTGTTGCTACCGGCGAGCTAATAATGAGTTCCGAGGAAGCCAAGAATCGCAACCGATTCGCCGTTTTAGTATGTGAAGATGCAGAGAAGTGGGGCGGACTAGAAATTATGGGCAAGCGTCATATAGATCTTTACCGAAGGGAACAAGACACGGAATGGCGTACTTTTAACGCTTGTGAAGGAGACATCCCCTCCGCAGAAGATATTGACAAATATCAAGGCTTGGTGATCGGTGGAAGTCACTATTCAGTGAACGACGATAAAGAATGGGTGAAAAGAATGGAGCAACTCATTGTTTCGTTGGCTAAGAAATCGCCGTCTCCTCGCGTGGTTGGCCTTTGTTTTGGTCATCAACTTTTAGCCAAAGCACTCGGAGGAAGCGTTAGCCGAAATCCTTCAGGAAAGTTTATTTTACAAACCGAGAAGGTGAAGCCCACGAAGAACGATACTGTTACAAACTCGATTGTGTCCAAACTGTTCGAGAGCGGTCCTCTCGATTTGTTAGAGTCGCACAGCGAATGCGTGACAGAACTTCCTCCGGACGCCGTAACCATTGCTAGTTCGGCTTCCTGTGACCATGAGATGGTTTTGTTTACGGATAACATATTGGGCCTTCAGTCTCACCCCGAGTGCAGAGCTGAAGAGTTTGAGGAAAAAATTCTTCCGTCCTTGATGAGTAACAACTTGTTCACTGAGGAAGACAAAGTTAAAACTCAAGAATCGTTCAAAGTTCCTCTGCATTCCAGCAAAGTAAACAACATTTTAAGTGACTTCCTTCATGAATAGACAATAGCTAAGTGTTTATAGTACCATGCAAAACAACAGTGGTAATAATAGACAATGAATAAACTTTTATCTAGCGTTAATACATTGCTCTCCTAAGTGCTTTGCAGTGATAACTTCCTAGAATATTCATGACTTTTTACCATACTGAATTACTAATTACAAGGGTTAATTAAATTCAATATAATAATAATGTTACAAATTCCATGTTAATTTAAACATGTTTATTCACTGATTGACTAATGTTTGTATTTGGAGTCTAAGGGTTTAAGAGTTGAACAGTGAACATCCACTTGTTTTAGGATACGTCAAGGGGTCTTCCTGGTTTTTAGCAGCATAGTACACTATTTGTAAATATGTGGGGGCTATTTATTTAAACAGGATCTTGACTCTTATCTTAGTAACACCCAGCCAGAAGTCAGTTTTTTTTCTTAATTCCTTTGTTTCTTGGGATATAACCATAACAGACAAAAGGTATCACTATCAGTTTCAGTAATTTGCGTGGCTCAGTGGAGGAGAACTCTAATGTGTAATGGATACAAAGGCAATAGATTATCTTCATTTACTTTTCAAGACTTGTCTCAAACCTGTATATCCCAGGGATGTCATTGAGTTTTGTGTCCCCATTGCCTTGGTCTTTACACCCGTAACAAGCTTATTGCTTTGTGAGTGAATTATATCAACAACGGGTAAGCATCAAGGGCTCATCAAATATTCACCTGTGACAGGTGTTGGGGGTTACAACCCTAAATTAAAGCAAGCCACTCTCTCAACCCCCATTTACTTCCAATGCCTGTTTATATTTTCAGTAAAGAGATTTTATTCAAGATAACATGTCTAGATCACTCCCTGAAAAATCAGCCTTGCTGAGCTGCAAACTACACCATGGGACATGCCTATTTATTATTATATATCCAGAACAGAGTAACCCACACCAGTCAAGCTTGAATATTCCTTGATTTGACTGTTCCACTTTAGAATAAATCTACTAGCGTTCTATCACGAATGCTGTTCTCTGATTGGCTACGCTACTCACAATCTGTTCTGTGATAGAGTGAGTAGCGTTGCAGTGTTCCCTTGTAAACAAAATGAGAGCCACTTCTTGGCATTGTCAAAGTATCTGTGAAGAGGAATACCGGTAGATAAAGTTTTGAACGACTAGGAGATTTATACTAAAACAATTAGATTATTTGTTCTATGCATGACAGTTGACTTGGGCTGCACTCTCGTCAGCTATCATGCAATAGAAATCTCAAGCTCATAATCTAACTGTTTAGTAGAACTTCCAGCCCAGCATGGTTGATGTTGTACCACATGACCCATCATTATTGCTTACTCCCATTGATACACTAATGGATGGAGAGAAGAACATGTACTGTATCACCTTGTCCAAGCCAGTAACTTTACAAATATGGTAATGTTAAAGTATACATAAATTTGAAGTCTAGTGGCACATCAAGATGGCAATATCCCTGGTTTCTGTGGCATTAAACAACTTGGAGTATTTATATGGTTGCTTGTCTCTGTTATGCCATGAAAATCAAATGACCCCATTTATACCCCTGGGTGTAGAGACCACTGTGAGAGTTTATTGACTTCCCCACAAAGAACAACACAATGACCCTCACCAGGGCAGAACCCAGACTGTTTCACCCAGAGTCCAGGTGACTGCCCATAAGACCACTGAGCCTCCCTCAACATAAAGACATCACCATTAACAGCACAGCTCACACTTATGACATGGCCACTGCTGAACCTTTGCCCGTGGCTGTCTTCTATTTCATTCCTGGTCCAATTTAGGTGGGAAAATGGATGTCTACACTGCGTTTGTGACACCTATCACCACACATTTCAATGCACTAAAATCAAGAGACATGCACATTCCATTTACACGTTAAAGAAATTTATTTCATACAAGTTTAAAATGACAACAGTGAGCAAAAAACCCTTAATCAAATGTCTTCCTGGACTAGTCTCCAAAAGTTCTCTTCAATGGTTAGAATGCAGCATCACATTTTGTTACGCTTTCTAAAATAATAAAAGTGTTCTTGTACATTGTTGAACTTGCATTCAGAACTTAGCAACCAGTAGAAACAGACCAAGTATTAGTCCTACAAGTAGTTTATCCTCTTTTGTTTAATTAGGGAAATATAGTCTGTGAAAGGACTGTTGTTGATCACCGCAGTTTCACAAGATGCAAGTCAAATAATAAAATAAAGCAACTGTATTTTTCTGCAGAGGGTAAAATAGAGCAAGAAACATAGTTCTATTTCACCCAGAAATTGCTACAATAACTGACTGAACAATAATTATCTGACTAAAACAATATTTCAATACCCACTAAAAGCACTCAAGGTCTCACTCTTGAAAATATTAGGTATGTTTTAACAAGTTATTACTTATATCACATCAATATGAAATAATTATCAAGGAAATACTTTAACTTTAATGAAGGAATACTCCAGATTTCATTTGACACTGACAATAAACTATTTTGTGTTATGATAACCTTTAATGCATATTACATTACAAATAAAACTATAAAATGCCATAAATGTCACAAGAAACTAGCACTTTACTTTCAAGTGGCAGATTGTTCAAAACTGGTTTTAATAGTCTTAAAGGAAAAACGTAGAGTAAAATGACAAAATCTGACTACAATGTTAAATGTTTCCCTTGAGCATCTAATTGGTCAAACAAAAGATATAAACTTGCAGGCACACTAAGCAAACTGCAGTAAGTCACAGCCTATTAGTAACCACTGAAAACACCTGATAGAAACGCACATCTGTTTCCATATTGATTTGTAATTTGTCGATCATTTTTAGATGCTTATAGATACTGATCTTTTATCTAGAGCCATCTGCTAAAGGTTCTTGCATAATTTAGAGTAGTTAAATGAAACTAAGAGAAACCATACAAAGCATGCACTGATAAACAGGACTATAATTTCCATGCATTTCTGATCATCAAATCAAAGTAGGCATCACTCTCAATGTTTGCTCCAAGACATGAGTAGTACTCTTTGAATTCTTTCAGTGTAACCTAATGATTGGAAAAGAATAGAAAAAAGCCATTACTATATACTAAAATACCTATAAGAGATCTCCCTTCAGGTTCTCTCTACTTCAGTGTCTGGGAGACAATTGACATTTAAGCATGCAAATTGGATTCCAATAATAAACTACAATTGATAGAGTATCTGTTAAGGGTTCTAGCTGGCACAGAAATCAATAGGTTAACCTAAAATCAAAGTCTTCAAACACATCTTTGTAGAATCTGTTTAAAATATCCATATCCTGCAACCGGACACCTCACCATGTCATTCTGACAGTCCTTTAAATATCACTAACATGGCACCTGACCATAATTCACTAATTTTGAAATTTTGTTCTAAGTTTCTAACGAAAAATGGTGACGGTCTCAATGAAAATCTTAACCTGGAGACTATTTTCTTAGCTACAACCCTGGGTGTCAAGTGTGGGGGGCTGACCTGGAGTCAGCTCAAGAGGAAACCCAGGACAGAGACGCCTACACAGGACTGTTGTAGGTGGCCTATGCCTCAGGAGGGGTTCTAGACGTAAGTAAGTAGTCACTAACCTTTCCATCCTTTTCATCATTTGGTTCAAAGTTCCTTAAAAACTCCTCAAACACCTCTTTTTCTGTCATTTCTCCATTTTGGTACTTCTTATGTTCTCTAGCATTATAAACTCTGAACACAAAAGGAAAATAGTGTCAGTTACACTAACAACTATAACTGACAACCACAGTATTACCAAGATATATAAGGTAAAGTCTGCATACAAGCCAAGTGGCCCATCAGGCCGGAGCTTATCCCAGTTTCTGTAGCATGAAGCGACTAGGAGTATTTCTACTCCCCCCTGTATGGGATGCTAGTCCATCGCAGGGTTACCCCCAGCATTAAGTTCGCCGGTACCCATTTATACACCTGGGTGGAGAGAGGCACTGTGAGAGTAAAGTGTCTTGCCCAAGAACACAACACAATGTCCCCGGCCAGGGCTCGAACCCAGACCGCTCGATCCGGAGACGAGCGCACTAACCATGAGGCCACTGCGCCTCGCTACCAAGATATATAGCAAGCTTATATTATATTGCATGGCTTGTATTTTTTTTGTAACTTACCGGTATTTATTTATATCCCCATTCACAGACAAAACTACTTACAATGCAACACTTACAGTACCTACATTACCAACAATCATGGAAAAAAGTCTTGGGACAAATTTGCACTTTTGGTGCTTTTGTGCACATGTCAGACGCGAATACAACTTCGCCTGCATAATCTCCCCTTCGGAATTTTTGATTTTTTTCCAGACCCTTTGGAATTCCTGTTTGTTCAATGTCAGTTCATTACAAACTGGAAAAGTTATCAGATCAGCGATTTCAAGCGAAGCTTTCATTATCTTCCCCCTCTGGAAATTCAGAGCTGAACCCTTCCCTCTCCCAATGTGTTCGGAATTCCAAACTGCATTACCCCCCATGCCTTCAGAATTTCAGTTCAAGAAACCCCCTCTCCCTTGGAATTCCACGATGCCACCTGTGGTGTGGCATGGATATTTTCTGGAATCATTCATTTCACAAACACTTTTCGTAAAAATGTTCAAATGTATATATATACAGTCATGTGTTTATAACAACAATTAAATAATGATAAATGTGGTATGCAAATTACTTCCTCAAATCTTCACTTGTCAGTACACCATCACCAGTCTTGTCAGCTTTTGCAAATGCCTGTTCCACCACCTTCAATCTCGTACCTGTCAAAGGTTTCTAGACAAAATCAAGGATTTAATTAGATTTCAACCCACAGTACAAATATACAGTTTTCAAAGATCCATTTAGGCCTGGTTTAAACATCGCAGTTTACATGCACCAAATCTAATTGCCGAATTAAGTGCATGTAAAATGTGACATTTTAAAGTGGTACTATGACGAAAATCGCATCTTTCCTATCAAAGCCATTTTAAAACATAAACAAGTACCTGTAAGAGGAGAAAAAAGCTGTTTACTATTTTTAAATATCTCTTTTCGTTCCAGAGATATTCAAGTTTTTAAAATATGTAAATTGGCAAAAAGATGACTTCATACACTCAACCAAATTTTGATCAAATATGAAAAAAGATATCTCAGCCAATTTGCATCAGAAATGTTTGATTCTTTGCAGGAGGATTCTATTAAATGTGCTCTACAATACAAGCCTATCAGTTTGGTTACCATGGCAACATACTGGGTTCCAGACCTCCCCAATATTAAAGGCATTTCTGCCACCTTTGCTGTTCCATTTTCCTATTTGCAAATGGTGCCTCATATGCATGATCCAGCAAGCATATAAATATGTTAGCTCCAGTTTGTGACCTCACTTAAGGTTTTTTGAGTTGAAAATCACTAACATATTGAAATCAAGTGGGTGGGGACTGGAAAAGAGTAAGTTACCATGGCAACAGAATTTTTTTATAGCTGTAGGTGTGCTTCCTGTAGAGCTATTAGCCTACCAAGTTGTAATGGTCTGCACTGCAAATTGGCCAAGACAGATCTATTTATATACTTGATATTATATTGGGTTGAGTGTGTGACATCATCAGTGACCTCATTTGCATATTTTACACATTTTTCAAACTGAAATATCTCTGGAACTAATGCAGATATTTGCAAATGGTAAACAGCATTTTTATTCTTTCATCGAATTCTATGTGATATGCCTAAAAAATCACGGGGTAAAAATTTGATCATAGTACCACTTTAAATCAATTAAATGCAACATATTTGAATTAAATGCAAGATACCGGTAGTTGAGTATTTGACTGATCCAGTTGAATATATGACTGAAGTTCAGCAGTTGATTTAAACGCCGTATTTTACACGTGCTGAAACTAATTCATAAATTATGTTAACTTATTTTTTTACCCATAACTTGACGGTTTTGTGCTGCGTGACATGCGCACAACAAGCTTGTGGGAATTTTTGGCAACAATTGCAGTACAAGATGTAGAAGGAAGGCTGTTGAGGATGCCGGCATGTGTGGTTCTTGCTTCGCTATAGTCATGCAACATAGTTATGCAAA